ATCCGGCCTAAACAGCTCCTTCAGCGGTCCCGACCTGACCAAGTCTACTACTCCGGGTTCGAGGTCGACTTGTATGGAACGGGGGACGTATTTCTTGTTTGACGCTTCGGTAAAGTAGACATCGACTGCGAGGGTTGTGTCAGAATCGTTCCCGTGAAAAGATTGAGGGGGGAGGAAAGACGTACCCTTGTCGAGGATACGAGGGTCATCGCTCGTGGCTCGTCCAGAATCTTGAAAATCACATTAGTCATCTCCTCCAGAACCCGCTTAGAGTCGCAGGCTTACTGTCAAGACCATGTTCCTGCACGTCCATCAATGTCTATTCATTGACAGTGGGGGAGGGAAGAGACATACCTGAAGGACATTTGACCAGAAAGCACTTCCAATCTGATTACCAGCTACCCCACGACATCAGTCCCTACTCAAAATCCTCCATCCGAGCGTAAACAAACCTTGTCCCACTACAAAACACAGTCAGCTCCATTCCCTCGCCCATCCCGACATGCGCGCTTACCCGATACGTTGATGATTTCTCGACCCATGGTGCTGTATTTATGAGTTGTGGAGAGAAAAGAGGTGGATGTCAGGAAAACAATGCGGCGGGGACGCGAATGGACGGCTTGTGCGCGTGGTCGCGTGATGTCATCGCTTTTACGCGTCCGGCTCATGGCACAAACATTGCACGGTCAATGCACGGTACATGTTGTTGTATGATTACATGTTATGCCATACACGATACCATCATACTGCCAAAACGAGAACAAGACCATGGGTACATATATATTTTTATAGGAATCGAACGACTCGTCACTGGGCGATACATGTCTCCAGAAGCCATACCGCCGAACAAGAAGCACGCGCAGCTACACCTTTGTGTGAGCAGATATGGCTGCCAGATATTAAGATACTACCTTCTTCCATCTCATAAATCAGAGCGATCTTGGACCGAGCCCGAAAGGAGCATCGCCAACTGCGAAGGGCCGATTTGAGCCAAATACGATCCTCCGAGCAACGAAAAGAACTCACCTCGTATCTAACAAGGATGAAACTCTATGACCTTTGCTCCCTCCCCCCCCATATCCTCCGAAAATCTTGCGCACGAATCTGGAGGTAGCCCATGTATCGTAAGTGTCTGAAGATGACGCGCGCGTAGCGCCTCGACCACGACCCTGTAATCGGACGATCCGACAGGGTAGCCGGATTGCAGGTGTAGTATGACGTTTTTCAGCTTGGGAAAGACGAATCTCGAGCTGAACATTGAGGCCCATCGCAGCTCCTTCTTCATCGAAATCCAATCCTCAGCCTTGATCTCTATGTCTTCCACCTCTTGAAAAAGAGCAGCCCCAAGACGCTTCTGGATTTCGGGAGTCTTGAAGATACATCGACAGAAGTATCTCAGAAAATAGGGGTATGTGATGCCACCCGGTACGTCTCAACCAGAGCGCAATCATCGCCGGTGGCGAGCGTCTTGACATGCTGGAGAAGAAAAACTTTACTGAGGAAGGGCGTGCTCGTTGGCGCACCACAGCCGCGCCCTCAACCAATGGTGACGGTGGAGGTTGCAGATCCCGTGGATGTAGGGGGGCGTAAGAGGGGGCAAGAGAGGAATGAAGTCGAGAGCGTGGAGTCGGAGGGAGACGGAGAAGTGCTAGAAACAGTTAGCGAGAACGAGGGGGGCAGGGAGGGAGACGTACAAGAGAGGAATAAGGCAACGGCCCAAGCACTCGGGTCACCTCTGTCGTCTGATGACGAAGAGGACACTCCTCAGATTACGCCCCCTACATCATTGCCGAAACCACCTCCTCCGATCGCGGCTGAGGCCCGTACTAGGTCTCAAGCGAGAAAGCTAGCCTCCTTTAACCTTGACGACGACGATGACATGCGGTATTATGGTAAGGACGCTCGATAATACCACCTCGGCTCCGAGCATGTTCTCAACGCTATCTCGAAGATTCCGGAAGATGTCCCGGGTACCCTCAAAGAAGCCCTCGAAGGAGAAGAGAAAGAGTTCTGGAGAAAGGCGATGGAGACAGAGTTGTCGACGATAGAGGAGAAGGATGTCTGGGAGGAAGCAGTGTTGCCGAAAGGGAGGAAAGTCGTGGGGTCAAGATGGGTTCTGGCGAAGAAGAAAGATGCGCATGGTAACGTACTCAAGTACAAGGCCAGACTTGTCGCGCAGGGCTTCAGTCAACAACCAGGTGTCGACTACGAGTTGACATGGTCCCCCACATCCCGCTTCACAAGCCTCCGACTACTCCTAATCATAATCGCCAAATACGAACTCGAAGTTGGTCAAGCGGACGTCAAAGGGGCGTACTTGAATGGCCGGCTCGAGGAGCCCATATACATGAAGTATCCGAAGGGGATGACGCCCGCGAAAGGTTGCGACGTACTGCGCCTGAAGGGGTCCCTTTACGGCCTGAAGCAATCAGGGAGGATCTGGTGGATGCAGCTTCGCGATGCTCTGCTGGATTTGGGGTTTACTCGAGTGGAGAGTGACTGGGGGCTGTACGTTCGACGTAGGCCTGGTGTCAAGAAACCAACTATTATCTTGTCATATGTCGATGACCTGATAGTCGCGGCGCCGGAGAAGGAGGAGATTGATGAGATATTTGGGAAGTTGACGGAGAAGTGGGATATTACGGTAGCGGAGGAGATGGAGCAGGTGCTGGGAATCAAGATCGAACGCAACCGGTCAGCCAAGACCTTCCACCTATCCCTTCCGAAGAATATCGATGAACTCACCGACAAATTCCCCTGCAATATACCAAAGCAGACCGTCCCTATCAATCCTCGCTCCCTTCCACCACGACGCGACGAAGACGAATCGCCAGCAGCACCGCTTACCCCGTACCAGGAGGTAGTGGGTTCGTTGCAGTGGATCGCATCTACAGTCCGCGCAGATATCGCGTTCGCCGCAAGCTACCTTGCTCGGTTCGCATCCGACCCTTTGGAGAGTCACTACCAGCTCGCGCTGAGAGTAGTGGCGTACTTGAGGGGTACGAGGACGAAGGGACTGTTGCTAGGGGGGCAGGAGGAGACGTCGATTCTGGAGGGATGGGTAGACGCGGATCTAGCGGGGTGCTTGGATACAAGACGATCAACCACAGGCTATGTCTTCAAAGCCTTTGGGTCGGTGGTCGACTGGCAGTCGAAACGCCAGGCGATTGTATCGACGTCTACATTGGAGTCCGAGTACGTGGCGATGTCGGAGGCAGGGAAACACGCCGTTTACCTGCGGAGGCTGATGGAGGACCTGGGGTTCGCTATCTCCTCGAACACTATGGTGCACTGCGACAACCAGGGGGCGTTAGCTTTGGCTGCAAACCCAGGGGCTCATCATCGTACCAAACATATCGACATTCGCGTCCACATGATCCGGGATTATGTGGAAGCCGGGCTGATCCGACTTGCCTACATCCGATCCAAGTCAAACATCGCCGACATCTTCACCAAAGCGCTAGAGCCTATCCATCATAAGGCGAATGTGCAGAGGCTGGAGATCTGCGAGGGCGGTGAAAAGATGGAGGGATTGGACGCGGGGGCGAGGAAGAGAGGAACGTCGCGGGTGTGAGGGTATGCGGTGGGGTACGAGTAGTCGGGTGGTTGCGTGTAGTGTATAGCGTATAGTGTAGGGCGTACAGAACGTCAGGAGGAGTGTTGGATTCTTGAGTTCAGTACGCTGGACGCTGTAGATAGTAGACGTATACGGTAGACAAGTAGTTACGTAACGTAGCGGGACCAGATGCCCAATGTGGCGGCACGAGGTTCAGGGACTGCAGCGTGGTGTATTGTGGAGCCTGTTGTGCTTTCTCATGCTCTTTCATCTTACCAGGTGATAGGTGCTGAAGACTGTACAACAGGTATGTAATGCATAGATCTTACCAGGTGATAGGTGCTGAAGACTGTACAACAGTATTCAATAGTGAGGTGGATGTAATCGTCGAGCTCAACCCCATATGTCGGCACCACCTCGCGATGAAGGTAGAATACTATCCTCCTGTGGTCATCCTCACACCGTCTGTGACGCCACGTGCCCGAAAGTTCACCAAAGAACGCCTCGACGTTGGCTGCCGTCAATTTCGGCGGGTGGACGTAGAGGTGCGGTACGATTTGGTTATAGAAAACGCGGGAAACGCAGAGGGTGTTGATTGTGGGGGATAAGCAGAGCCAGTGAAAGATGGCTAGGAGGAGCTCAGGCGGAAGAGCTTGGGGCCTTCTTTGGAGGGCGGCGTCGGTAGATTGGCCGTGCATGATGGCAGTATCGTCTGGCATGCGGGAAAGGAGCGAAGGACGGTTGAGAGAAGGAGATGATGGCCGCACGAAGACGTGTATGCGGTGGTCAGGAAGCGATTCTGTATCGTGAGTCGTGAGTGTACTCGTAGCGTTTCCGTTGGCGGAGCCACCCGAGCGGATCACTCAAGCTGAATCTGGCTCGCGGCGATGACCGCGCAACTCACGACCAGCCGTGGCCTGATTGTGCCTTCAGTAATGGACTGCGGATCGGATCGCTTCATCTCCCGGGGAGAAATATCGTTGGATACACAACCGGTGTAGGGTGCGCGCAGCTCGATTCACTGACGGGAATATGGATATGATCAGCAGTGAGTGAGCCTAGCGGACGAGGCAGAGGGTATGTACTCTACGAGTAGAGTACTGTATCATCTTGGACTTTCGGGCATAGAAATGTCTGTCTATATGGAGATCAATGGGACTAGATCGTTTAATGATAGATATCTGTGATTGAGATTTGGTTCGGGTGGAGCTCCGGCAGCTTGTAGAGGTATTCGTATAACTCAACGATCACCTTTGGAGCAGCGGGTCTGTTACCTGCGGAACCGCCACAGTCATCCATAATCGTCCCTTCAAGATACCTACACATCGCCTTCTTCTATCTGATACTATAATTGCATCTCTGCCCGCGTCTGAAAGATCAATGACAACTACAAATGGCTATTCAGCCAGATCCTCTATACAGCGATACGACTCACCAGTCGTACCTAGCTGGGATATACGATTGTCACCTCTGCCGCCCACGCTCCCAAGTCTTGCGAGAATGTTACCCAAGAATCAGGAGGCAATCCATGAATAGTGAGTCTCTGGAGACGACATGCGCGCAACGCTTCGACTATCCTTGTGTAAGCGAGATTTTCGGTATCAAAGTTGGTAGGCAAGATCAAAGTGACATTCTGGAGCTTGGGAAAGACGTCGCCCAAACTTAGCATTGTGGCCCAGCCCCAATCCTTCTCCTGGCTCATGTTCTCACCCTCACCACCAATATCAACGATAACGTCCTTCACTTTCCGAAACAGGGGAGCTTCGAGACGCTCTTTGATTCTGGGAGTCTTGAAACTACGACCGTGGACCCAAGTCACAAAAGAGCGATGGTAAGAGACGACGTAATCAGTTTCCGCAAGAGCGATAGCATCGCCAATGACCAACGTATCCACTTGTTGGAGGAGAAAGACTTTGCTCAGGAAAGGCGGGAGGTTGATATAGTCGTCGAGCTCAAGACCATCTATCACCGTCACCAGCTGTTGACCAAAGTCCATATCTTCCATCCTGTAAGAATTCTTGTCTCTGCGATGAAGCAACCATCGCGACGATCGGCTGTAGAAGCTCTCGACGTTGTTTCGGTTCAATTTTGGCGGGTGGACGTACAAGTCGAGGTGCGGAATGCTTTGGTGATAGATCGCGCGGGAGATGCGGAGAGTGTCGATTTTAGGAGAGAGGGTAAGCCAGCTGATGATGGCTAGCAAGAGCTCAGTTGGAAGAGATTGGATCCCTCTCTGGAGCGCGGCGTCAGGTCCACCATGGGCACTGGGACTGTCGTCTGGCATGAGTGGAAGAAGCGGGAGCGGGGGACGGCGACGTTGGGGCGAAAAGAGGTAGTCGCAAGAAGACATGTATGCGGTGTTGGATGAAGAGCAGCTCTTGAGATGTGCAGTGTTGCTTCTTAGTGTTACCGCTATCATCGATGACAGACGTGGTCGTATTTGGTTTCACGCGGCGCGCCGCTCGCAATCCAACCGTGATCGTGCCGTGGGGCCCGAAGTGCAGGCCACGCTGCTGGCCTAAACCCTGAGAGCAACACTGTTGAACACATAGATCATATAGGGGGTGCAGTGCTGCAAGCAGCTGATCGTGGGCGGAAGCTCACGGACAGCCAGGCCGAGGGCTCTCTTTCATGTTGTATTTTCGGTTGTAAATATGGTCTATATGGGAGTCAATGAGGGGCAATTTTGCAATGACAGATACATGTTCTAAATTAAATTGTACGAAAGGGCTCAGGCTCTCTATCTCCCGCTTTATCTCCTGATAAACAACATCATCCAACACATGATTTAACAATGAATACCTCAACCTTGTCGGAGTCTACTTCTTGGCTGGTAATGGTTGATACTTGATACTACTCTCTTACGTAACATCACCTTTCCATACATATCCCACATTTGTCCGTAGTCACTTTCTCTATGCTACCAATATGCCAAATCTATGGGCAACACTGCGCCGTACCCCCACAAACCTCTCTAGGGGCAAAAACAACAGCACACCATCGATACTTGAGTTGAGCGGGAGGCTTTGGTGTGGCAGTGCGTGAGGGAGGAAGAGGGACAGAGGATGGATTCGTGGTAGTGCCATTCCAATTCGAGGCCCTGGTGCGCAGCGGAAGGGGAAGAGAGGGAGCGGATAGGATAGACATCGTCTGGAGCCCAGCGGCCGTCCCAGAGGGTTTTGTAGTATTCTCCAGCAGGATGGAAAGTGAATGGCACAGGCAGAGTCGGTTCTTCACCAAAGCAGACGGCTTTGCGAGCGGATATCCAGCTCGATTCCATCTCCCGCTTGACGAGCATCGTCTCTTCTAGAGTCTTTTCATTGATGGTAGCAAATCGTTCGAGGATGGGATCGAGGTTGAACCACGCAACAGCCTTGACCTCTTTTCTCTCAGCAACAAGTCTGGTGAGTTGAAGGAGGAGAGTATCGATGGCCAGTCTGTAGTCTGTCCCATACCTGGCTGGGATGCAGCACGTCCGCCCTTGCACGAGCGAAATCTGGCACAGACTTGGGCTGATGGGAATGGGGCGCGAGGCGGGGTCGTCGAAAGCGTCGTCGTATTGCGGGATGATATCGTTCCAGAGATAAAAGTTGATCTTCTGGCATGTCGGGTAGAGGTTCTCCCTTTTGGCAGAACAAGCGTTCAAGAACGAAACCGCATCCCGACTTCTCAGCACTCTTAGCTTCACCGTCATACTCTTCACCCCAGGCAAAGGCGGCAAGTCCCCAGGAGCACCATACCAATCCGCCAGTGACGATGTCCCCCTCGAGGCGCCCGTACATGTAAAGTGTAAGCGGGAAGCGTTTCGGCAGATATACGCGATAAAGCCGGCTGTGGGGAGGGGGTGGAGCGGGCTTGGGTGCCAGTGGAATGTGATTTCAAAGGTATTGGGGTGGGGTTGGATAGTGACTTGTTCGACGTGGGAGAGGGGGTGGATGCTGGTGGTCTTGTGCCATAATTCCTCGTCTTCTTCCTCGTCTTCTTCCTCATCTTCTTCCTCATCTTCTTCCTCGTCTTATTCCTCGTCTTCTTCCTCGTCTTCTTCCTCGTCTTCTTCCTCGTCTTCTTCGACCGGTCCTCGCTCCAAATACACCTCAATCACACGCTCTAAAAGAGCATCTTTGCCATAAGGCCATCTAGACTTGTCTTCCTCCTCTGCGGAGGCGCCGATTGAGGGGTTGCAGGTATGGGAAATGGGGATAGAGCGGTATAGGGCGGGAGCGGCAGCCGAGAAAAAGAGGGAAGAGGTGCGCAGGACGGCGGGGAGGTCGGATATGGGGAGAAAGCTGATGATGTCGCAGAGGATGTCGTAGTTGGAGGCGAAGCGGGTGAGGATCTGATCGGAGGTGGACATGCTGGGGGCCCGGGTCAGTGGTTATCTGGAGGAACGAGATGAGATCTTACCTGGAGAGAGGTTGCCAGGGGGCGAAGAAGACTTGTTGGGGCTTGTGCAAGGGGGGAGTATGGTGGGATTCGGGGTATTGGCAGTACCCTTTGGACGAGGAGAGCTCTGGCAAGCCGGATTCGTGTCAGTAACAGCGAAACATAATCATCGACCTTCCGACTATTCCGCCACCAAAGGGAGAACAGCAGTACAACTTGCTTATGTACACCACCCAGCAAAACCGACTCTACTATCTTTTCACTTGGAGCATCAGAGCAAAGGAATTACTCATACCATCTATCCCCCCGAGCAGCCAGCAAGGGGCATATGCAAGCTAGGCTGTTGGAAGCCCACCATCCTCGCCGTTGACCATCGACGCGAGTAATAGACCGACCGCGACCGAGCCGAGTCGTCACGGCCCTCCTGCGGTCCACCCGCTCGCCTTCATCGTCAAACAAGTGATCATACCATCCCACCCCACACCCACCATCAGACTACCCCGACTATCTCTGCAGTCTCCACCAATCTCCAACTACATACTCAACCAGAGAACATCCAGACTGTATTCAAGATATCCTCCCCGGCATCCCGAGATTTCGGAGACCGCGCTCGGAATCTTCGGATCTCGGAGATGCCCGATATCACCGCTTATCACTGCAGCTCGTGCTCTTTGCTTCTCCACCGCAGCTTCTCCCTACATACTTATATTCAGATCCCCGACCCCCTCCCCCCTCTTCTCCCATCCACCCCCTTACCCTTAAAGCAAGAGCAAAGCAAACCAAGGCAATGACCTCCCCCTCCTCCACCATCGCCATCATCGGCGCCGGCGTATTCGGCCTCACCACCGCCCTCCACCTCGCCCAGCGCGGCTACACCCACGTCACCGTCTACGACTACCAGCCATACCACCTGAACGCTTATAACCCTGCTGGGGGGTGCGATGCTGCTAGTGCTGATGTGAACAAGATCTACAGGTGTTCCTAGTACGTCTCTCTCTTCCGTCCGTGGGTAGGGGGCTGAGAGGGGTGAGTAGTGGGAAAGAAACAGAATACCAAGACCTAGCATTCTCAGGCCGCCCCATCTGGCTCGCATGGAACGCCCAACTCGCCTCCACCCCCGCGCACCTCCTCCCCCCCGGCCTCTCCCCCTCCGACAAGCTCTTCGTGCCTTCAGGCTTCTTGCGGATCTCAGACGGGGAGGGCTTGTCGGCGTATGATGCTGATTGCCTGGAGGCGTTGAAGGAGGCGGGGTTGAGGGGGCATCAGCATGTTTCTGTGAGTGTTTTCTGTTCCGTGGGGAGGTGTGGGTTTGGGAAAGTGTATTGACGAGGATGTAGACGGAAGAGGAGGATATGAAGAGGTTGGAAGAGAGCGATAGACAAGACCCATCCCCAAACTGGATCCGCAAAACGCAAGCCCTCTCCCCCCTCACTTCCCCTCTCACCCCTATTTCCGTCCCCACCACCACCCCCACCCAATCATCCACCTCCCTCACCACCACCCCAAACCCCCACCCCGCAATCCCCACCGCCCCCAGGCCCTACCCCCTAGCCACAACCCTCGACACCTCCGCCGGCTTCACTTACGCCGACAAATCCTGCGCCTGGGCCCGGTTCCTCGCAGAACAGGCTGGAGTCAAGTTTGTGCTCGGGCCCGAGGAGGGCAAGTTTGATGAGCTGCTCTTCGGCGAGCCTTCGGCTGGGGGGGAGAAGAAGGTTAGAGGGTTGAAGACTGTTGACGGGAATGAGCATTTGGCGGATGTTGTCATTGTCGCTTGTACGTCCTCTCTCCCTCCCTCCTAGCGACTTTGTCATGACATAAAGGCGGTGAGCTGATGTTGCTACAGGCGGCGGCTGGACACCTTCTGTCGTACCCGAAGTCGAAGGTCTTCTCGAAACGACCGCTGGGAGCGTGGTCACTGTCCAATTGCCCGAGGACCGTCAAGATCTTTGGGACAAGGTGTGTTTCCTCCTCCCCCTTCCTTTTCTCCCCTCCTTCTTCGCTCACCCCTTCGCATTTGACAAAGAAGAAAGGCAAGCTAACGAAAAAATAGTATGCACCCGAAAACTTCCCCGTCTGGGCATACGGCCTGACAGGACACGAGTCGCCCGAGTATGGTGGCTTCTATGGGTTCCCCAGGACGCAGGATGGGAAAATCAAGATTGGTTGTACGTCCCCTTCCCTTTCTCCCTCTCTCCAGAGTAAGCAAAGTGCGAGTACTGATGAAGATAGATCGAGGAAGGAAATGGACGAATTACCAGGTGAACCCTAAGACTGGCAAGTACGTCACTCTCCCCATCCACACATTTTTTGTACAAGGAGCCACAGCTAACAAGAAACAGAGAAATCTCCACCCCCCTTACAGCCTACACCCCCACCCCAGCTACCAACCTCCCCCTCCGCGCCCTCGCCCTCATCAAACACATCATCGCCCTCGCCCTCCCCGACCTCGCCGACCCCTCCATCGGCATCGCCGCTACGCGGATGTGCTGGTACACAGACAGTGTGGATAACAGTTTCGTGGTGGATTACGTACCGGGGTATGGGGAGGGGCTTTTTGTGGCTAGTGGGGGGAGTGGGCATGGGTTCAAGTTTTTGCCTGTTCTTGGGAAAGTACGTCTGCGTCTCGTGTAACAGTATGTGGATAAAGAAGGAGAAGGGGCTGATGGGAATGTAGCATGTGGTGAATGCGCTGGAGAAGAAGCCGGACCAGTTTACCGACATGTTTCACTGGCGTACCGCTGCCCCCGATGACAAGTACGCCAACGGCCTTAAAGAGGACAAAGAAACGTCGGGTAGGGATCTGGGTAGCTTGAAGATGGGGGAGAAGGTGGACTGGCTGTTTTAAATATAGACACGAGACTATGTAGATACTTGGGATATGCAATGGATGGAAGGAATTGGGAAGGAACCAAACAGAGGACGGATGATTCGCCGAGAAGTGGAGGCCGCGTCGTGTGCCCTGACCGAGAGGGTTGTTGTCTGTTCGGGTTCCGGGCCGCATTGTCACCGGGGACAACTGCTGCGGAATGAAAGGATGGAAACTGGGGGGGCATCCGACAGTATTCCATCTCCTGTTGACTCTTACTACCCCTCTCCACCCATACTCCAGCCAGCGCAGCCCTCCACCACTCCACCCCACACCCCGGTCCAGACCCCGTCGGCTTTCGGCCGCGCTGTCTAAATTGCCAAGACGTCATCCCTCAAAAGTCTAAAATCTCGCTCGCAGCAACCTCTGGTACATACGTATAACTCATCCGGTGCCCTCTCTAGCTTCCTTTTTTATCTGCACCGCATCCTTATCTCCCATGCTCGTCCCCGCCCTCCTCGCCCTCTCCCTCGTCCTGCCGCTGGTCTCGGCAGAGCATCTCAGCGACTCCCTCCAGAGCAAGGTGTACGATGTCATGAACCAGATCTCCACCCACTCGTACGTCCTCCTCCTTTTGCTGCTGCTGTTGTTGCCAAGCTTACACCCGGGAAAGATGGGAGAACGGCACAAAAGCCCAAGCTATCCTCGAAGCCACCTACCCCGCCTACTCGGTCTTCTCCAGCTCCGCCCCCCTGCCCCTCCCTGCCGACCTTTCCGACGACGACATCTCCGAGCTCATCGATATCGCCAAGACCACCATGCAACAGCGCCCCGCGACCAACACGTCCGCTGCCGCCCGGGGCGGCAGTACGTTGTTGTCAGACGACGCGGCCGGCGATCCGGCGAGTTTGGGAATTACCATCTTGCTGGCGAATGCGAGTACTTCGGATGCACAGGTGAATGGGGTGGGGTACGGTGAAGCAGCGGAAGCAGAGCTCAACTATCTTCTCTACGACGTCCCCCGCGTAAGCCAGCCTCCCTCTCTCCCTCAGAAGGAAAAGCTGACGACCGCACAGACCTCCTCCGGCGCCATCTCCCACCGCGCCGACCAAGCCCAACTCTGGGCCGACAGCATCTACATGGTCCCCCCCTTCCTCGCCTACTACGCCGCCCTCCACTCCAACCTCACCCTCCTCAAAACAGCGTACGACCAAATCTCCCTCTACCGCGCTGCCCTCCAGCAAGATAACAAGCTTTGGAACCATATCGCGGGCGGGTCGGGCACGAGCGATGCGAAGGACTGGGCGACGGGGAATGCGTGGGCTATGGCGGGGATGTTGAGGGTTTGGGCGACGTTTTATTGGTCCGGGTTTAAGGATGAGTTGGAGAGTCAGATGAGCGATCTTGAAGACTGGATTGACGAGATTTTCACCGCGACGACGCCTTATATCGTGCGTCCATTTTCCAAGAAGGGGGAGGAGGAACTGACGAGAAGCGCAGACGACCAACGGTATCCTCAAAAACTACATTACCGACAACTCCAGTTTCGAAGACACTTCGGCCTCAGCCCTCTACGCCGCCGTCGGCCTGTACGTCCCCCCTTCTCCTCTTCTCCCCTCCCCATTCCTCACTCAGCTGACCTCCTCCCAGCCGCCTCTCCACCCTAAACATCTCCTCCACCCACCTAAACACCTCCCTCACCCTCCTCTCCTCCACCTCCTCCTACATAAACTCCACGGGCTTCCTCACCCAAACCGTCAACCCCCTCGACTTTACCCACCAAGCCACCGACTCGGGCTCGCCAGAGGGACAAGCGTTCGTGGTGATGGCGTATGCGGCGCATAAGGATTGGGATGCTCTGGGCCAGCAGGGGGGAGGGGGGGATGATGGGTTGGGGGATACGAGTGGGGCGGAGGGGGGGATGAGGTTTGGGGTTGGGAGGGCGGGGTGGGGGGTGGTGGGGCTGGCGGTGGCGGTGGGGTGTATCCTGTAGGGCGGTCGAACCCCTTAGACTGTGAGTCTCCTTCAATTCGTCTTTTTGCGTTCTGTCTCGCTGAACTAAATATCTTATCCTAGAACGAAAACAAAAAGCACCGCGTGCTGGGTGGTTACATTGCTAGAAACACATTACATAACTCTTTGCCTTTATAACTCTATCCATCATCCATCCTGGAGATGCTTGTCTGTCTACATGCTTGCTTTACTTGCTCTTACTTTGCTTATATTCATCGACATTCTTCTTTTCGTCCTGTACACGTATACGGAAAAGAATGGGGTTTTGTTTGTACACATATAAATCTATGAAATACATGAAATACGATGTCATGTACTCGTACAGATCAATACTCTACGATACAATCATGTTTGTTCCCCTTGCCGGGCACTGTTGATATTGTAGTAGCACACAAAAAAACGTTTTTCCTTTCGTCATCGACCGGCAAACATCTACGTGCAGCAGACGTGCAGTCACCAGCACCCGCAGCAGCAGCAGCAGCGAGAAACCCCTCATAGCCATATGAAAGGACGAAAAGTGAAAGCGTGGGGCTTGCTTCCAATTCATATGTTTCATATCTGAAACGCGCAGCCTAGCCGATGAGCCAGTAAAAGCGGTGGATACGGGTCCCGGAAGGTAGCATTATATATTACCTTTGACAGTATCGGTAAGTATCTCGGATACGGACTTTTCATGAGCGTGCGGTCGTTCAGATGCCGACTTTAAAGTCCGTTCATCATTCTGTGACGATGTATAAGAGTTACTACTATGCTCATTTTCGTCTACTTCTTCACTACTCCATACAAAGCGTTGCACAGAAAAGTCGGCATCAAATGATTACCGGTACTACAGAGACAGAAACAACCCTTGATGATGTGGACTATATCGACGAGAACGGGACGTGTTTCTCTATCGTCCCTGGAAGTGTACGTCCTCTCATACATCGACATCAACTCAACTAGTGGTGGTCATGGTGCTAACATCCCATCTTCAACCAGACCGAAGTGAACCAAGGAGGCCAGCCGGTAGTGCAGTACGAAGAAATTACATTACCACCCGTACAGGTGTGGAAGTATGACGAACCGGGCAAGCGTAGAAGAAGGATCAAGATGTCGGAAATGAGTGCACTCGATCAAGAGCGGTATCGCGCTGTCAGTATGTCCATTCTATAACATGTCCTCTCCGGTTTTAGCCTAGTGAGGCTGGCGGCTCCGTGCTCACTCATGACATAAATAGACAATCGGAATCAATCCACATTCAGACACCGCAGGAATCTCCAGCAACAAGCAACAACCGAGCAACTTGATGAACACTGCACCGAGACCTTTGGCGTAGGAGCCCACGACCCCTCTGCAGCTTCGGGAGAAACTTCCTCTTCTCAGCAAGCCAATATGACCAACGAGCAGATGACGCAGTTTTGCAACAGCTTAACCTCAGAGCAGCTTCAGTCTTATGGAGGCTACCCCTCTGCAGCCTCGGAAGAACCGTCCTCTTCTCAGCAAGCCGGTTTGACCAACGAGCAAATGACGCAGCTCTGCAACAGCCTGACCTCAGAGCAGCTTCTGGACTATGCAGGCTACGACCCCTCTGTAGCCTCGGGAGACTGTAAGGAGGTGGATAGGTGAGGAACCTAAGGGCGGTTACGTGATGGATCGACCTTGAACAGGCTGGATGGATGAAGGATGGATATAGGTGAGGAGGATACTACGAGAATACATCGATAGGGAAAAGGATAAGGAGACGCGGCACGATGTATATATGGGAACCTCATCTCGCAATCCGGCCTACGCATCCCTGAGACCATAGCGGCAACCCTAGCACCGGAGCCAATCTGAGAACATGCTCACCATAGAAGCATACTAGTAAATGAAGCCTCTCTTGATTTCACGAGTTCGGTTCCGATGGCTGGCCGCCGGCAAAGATGAAGAAGAGAAGTGCTGTTGTATCTTCTATAAACCAACATGCATCCTCGTTCGGTCTTCGCTCGTAGGCACGTCTCTGATGAAGCTCATTGTATTCGTACTCCCCCCCGTTGCCCGTGGATGATATGAGGTAGCCCTGTGCCTCAATCAGCATTCTCGCTGTTCCCGTCAGCCGTTCCCTCGCCGTCGATGCTTTTTTGAGCAGCAGCCACCCTTCTGAGCTCTTCCAAAGGATTTTTCTTTTTCAGTAGGCTTTGTCGATTGGCTATACGTAGACGCTCATTTTCTTTCGAGCAGACATCAGATAGGCACCGGACAGTATATCCCATCTGTTGTGCGAGATACATACCTCTTTTGCTCCATTCGGGATCAGTCTGCTTCATCTTTTCTCTATAGGCGGCGCTTCTTCTGGCGTGATCTGCGTTGATAGACCATAATCAGCAGGAAAGTCGTTCACAGGTGCACAAACGAAATGCTTGGACGGTTGACGCACCAGTTTTGGTGCTGATCGTGTGGCTGCGCGCTCCCGCACGATTGCATTCGAGATCTTGGGCTTGATCATCCAACGTGCTAATTTGCAGTCAGCCCCCAATCTACCATACTGCGTAGGGGAAACGGGAGGTATGGTTAATATCTCGCAAGGCTTGTACACACCTAGGGACCTTCGCTTTGATTGGTTCATACCTAGATGTTGATCCATCGCCCGGGTCCTCGCCCGGGTCCTCGTCAGCGAGCTCGTCCGACTGGTATTGCTGGCTTGCCTGTTCAATGTAAGCTTGAAGGCTGGCGTTCGATTCCCCATTCTGAGTGTCTCTCCTGAACTGTTCCACCGTCATGTCAAACATGTCCTGCAGTAGCACGATACGATGCCGGTGAGCAAACCGAGTTCTTTTTCTGAATGAGAGCCTCGTACCTGAGGCATTTCGATAAGCTGGTTGATAGTGAACGTGGTCCAGTGTGCAGAAACCAAGGGCATTGGTGTCCAAGCCCTGGACGGATCTTCTGAGTCCAACGCATCGACTGAGATCAGAACGAGGTCAATACCCTCGGTGTTTTGTGTTTCGTCGCTCATTGGTGGCAGATCCTGAATACGTGTTCTGCAGTAGGAAATGATCTTCTTCTGAATGATCTCTTCCATGATGCTATCTACTACTCCATTTCATATGATGTCAGCGACACAGTCGTTGAGTTGGATATTTATTGTCATCTGGACGGAAAAAAAGCATCAAAGGATCAAGATACACTTATGGGAATAGTACGAGCATACCTTTCTTGCACCATAGATGCGACATACCAGTCTTCTGATCTTCACCAGCTAAGCATCGGAAGTATCGGAACCTTTGATCACAACCAACGTCCCGACACACGCCGAAAGGGAGGTATGTGTCGGTATACCTCGCTGGTCATTACATGAGTATCCATTCGTCAAAAGAGGGTAATGCAATATGCCGTGCAGGGTATCTATGGTCCTAAAGAAGGTCGTGAAAAAGAGGCAAGCAAAAGTCCGGTTTCGTAAATATAGTCAGTATCAAAATAGTCCGTTGACAAGATCCCATCTCCGCCTTCGTGTCTCCGCCTCCGCCACCAGACGGCCCAAATCCCGTCCCTCTCCCATTCCCATCGCCCACCAACCTGAGAATACAGCAGAGAAACGACAAGCTCAACACCCATCCTTCAACTCATTCTTCGGAAACTCATAACCCCCCTCGGCCCATGTCGTCAGATTCGGGTTTGAGTACACGTTGAGGTGGTTGGCGATATAGTCTGCTGTGGGGTAATCTAAATCGTATGTGTCAGCCTTTATTCGTGCGCGATAGAAGATAGGGAGAGGAAACAAGGATAGGAAAAAAGAGGAAAGAATGAGAGAAGGAGAAGGAGAGAAGGTGGTTCGGCGAGCGCGAGTCATGGAGAGGTAGCGCTGCGCGGACAATGAGGGCACCGAGGGATTCAAGTACGCCGAGAGCTTCGAGTGAACCGAGAGCTTCGAGTACACCGAGCCCCCCAAGCACACCCACCATCTGTCACGGTTATAGGGTCATCTGTGTAGTTTGTTCATTCAATTCGTTTGGTTGTGTGTTTAGTGGACTCTGATATATATATATACGGAGAGCACGGTCCACTAAACACACAACCAAACGACTTGAATGAACAAACTACACAGATGACCCTGTAACCATGACACCATCCCCAAACCCACCATCCCAAATCCAAGAGAAAAAAACTCACCATCAGGATCACAACTAACACTAATCCGATCCGCCTTCTGATACACCCGAACATAGTCGATCCGATGATAATTCGGCCACTTGAGGTTGGAAAAGTCGACGTTCTGGAAATTGTTGGACATGTGGAGGTTGAAGATCTATTTCTTTTTGTCAGCTGCTGTCCACAATGTGACTGAAGAGAGATGGAGAGAGAAGAAGAAAGGAAGAGGAGAAGGAGAAGGAGAAAGAGGAAGAAAAGGAGAAGAGAAGATGAAAGAAAAGACGTACCAACGCCATAGGCTCCTCCGGTATAATCCTCCTCCCCACCTCCGTCTTATTATTCTCCTTAATCGCATCCGCATAAACCGTCCAACTCGTCTTGTTATCACTATACCACGTAATATACCCCTTCTCCCTCTCATCCGGGAACGCCTGATACTCCATCCCAAACATTGCAAACTGCCCCGACTCGCCCTCATACCCCGTGACGTCGTCTTGGTTGTAGTAGATGGAGGACGGGACGGTGGTGAGGGAGGAAGCGGCTTGCTGGTATGTGCCCCCGAGGTAGGAGTTGAAGGATGTTATGGAGGTGTTGTATTGTTCGACGGAGGTGTTGTCGTATTGGTAATAATCGTCGACTATGCTCCATCAGCTCCACTCTTCCCAACACGATCCTCAAGAATCGAGGAAGAAGAAAGCAAACGTACAAGGCGCCAACTGCAAACTCTGACTAACCTGCCCCACCCCATCATCAAGCACGATCTGCGCCTCAATAATATCAATCTCCGGCGCCGACCTGCCCACCCCCACATTCGGCCCCGGGTGGTCTTCCCCCTCACACGTGCACGACGGCGTGCGCATACCGGGCAGGACGGAGAGCTGGCCAGAGTTGGAGCCGGTGTTGAGGGCGGCGGTGGGGCCCGTGCCGTTGGTGTAGGTTTGGTTTTCGAGGATGCCGACGTCGCAAGAGTCGTACGAGTATCTATCGGAACGTGTCAATGGGTGCTTTTAGAATGAAAATAAGAGGCGAGAATGAGAGAAGGAGGACGTACGGCCAAAGCCCCTCCGTACTAGCACCATACCCCGGCCTCCCCAAATTCCCCATCGTCCATATTCCCGGCCAAAACCCTCCAATATCAGAGACCCCCGGGAAACTCGCCGACACCTCTATAAACGCATTCTTGTTGAAGCAAAGCTTGTTCCAGGATTGCACCATGCCGGATTTAAAGTTGAGGTTGTGGATGGGTTCTTGGGTCATGGTCATAACGAGGTGGCCGTCTTTGGTCGTTACGGCGGAGGGGTCGAGCCATTCAAAGTCGCTGTAGATTATGTCAGCGGGATGAAAAAGGGCAAGATGAGGAGAAGACGTACCCGGTAGCCCAGTAGTGAATGTCCATGGCAGTAAAGAACGGGTCGTCGCCTTCAAAGAACGTCCTTCCCTCCTTCTCAAACTCGTCCGAGAAGACCAACTGCCACTCGCCGCCATCATGCCCCTCTCTCGTATACGCCCAGCTCGGCGTATCATCATCAATCATACTAGGCAAACCCGCAATCTCGGGGTACTGCCCACTCGCATTGATCCCTCCGATATTATACCCCGACGTCCCACTATAATTTTTCGTACCCCCATACGTATCTTGCCACCAACTCAATATCGGCCACCCTGCGAAAATCATGACCAGCCCAGCGGCCATGACGAACAGCGTAAACATGTTTGCCCAGCCTCGCCAGGAGAAGAACATGAATGGCGTATCGACGTCGTGCCGCGCGAGCTCGGAGGGCGTAAAGGCATGGAGATAGTCGTCGGGGTCGTCTTCATCATCACAAGGCGCTTGCGGGTTCCCCCCCGCTTGCCGCATCAACGGTCCCCTCAACTGCCCATCGCTCACGCCCATGCCCGAGCCCATCCCCTGCCCGCCGGCGAAAGGACCCATATAAGACCCCGTCGTATACGTCGATCCCATCGAATCGCGATTGTGGGCAATGGAGGGCGCGGGGGACAGGGCGTTGGACCGGCCGTAGGGGTCGTAGGCGGTATAGTCGTGGGAGGCGGTGGAGGAGGAGGTGGACTGGCGTTGGTAGCCCGGGCGGGGGTGGATGGATTGTTGGAGGAGGGGTTCTTGGTAGCCTCCTTGCGGGGGGATTGAAGAGTACATGTTGAGGGTTGTGCCGGGGGAGGGGAGGGGAGGGGAGGAGATGCTATAAGGGGATACGGGGTCAGCGTCGCAAGGGATGGTGGATAAGGGGTCTCTTACTGCGATGTGGCCGTGGTGGCCTGGGATGCCCTGTGTAAGGATGATTAGAAAGAGAGAGGAGATACTACAAATGTACAGGATGGGTAGCGACAAGGACTGTGCGCAGGGATACAAAGTTCTAAACGGGTGCATTTGCGGGAGGAAGGGATGTGGAGTAGCTGGAGACGCATCAGCTCAAAATAGCCTCCCTGTCTGCCCACACACCTCCTCGTCCCCGCCACTCGTCCCCCCTCCCTTTCAACCGACGCCGACGCGAGCACTGAGCACAGCCAGGGAGCACGTCTGGGTATCAGGGGAGGGGACGAGGCGAGACAGGAGAAACGAGAATAACAAAACAGCGGACAAATGCCGCGTAAAGTTGCAGAGGAGCCCCGCGCACGACGCCACTCCCTGGCTAATACGCCGCACCCGAGCACGAGAGCGGAGCATGTACACGGAGGCCACGGATGCGCAGGAATGCATCTCGGTAAGCACAAAATGGGGTGGGTGTAGCCTGCGTACAAGGGTACCCCTCAGCTTGTCTTTTAACAGGTCGCAGAGATGTATACCATAGCAACAGCGGTGTCTGAAAGCCGTCGGCTTCGGCCGCCGGGGATTGACCGGCGCACGCACGCGCCTCTCTTTTAATAACGCACCAGTCGCCGTCCCGAGCGTAGTCCTGAGCGATCGTTAGCGGTAACTCTTTCAGCATAACACTGCACGTCTTCTTATCTGATATGTACCAGTACGATGGACATGCTTTCGGGGGGAGATTGGCTCTACGAGAGATAAGCACGGCGCAGCTCGCAAAGCCTCGTCGAGGCTCCCAGCGTTGCATACCCAAGCCAGGGAAAACTAAAGCCAGTCACTGTCACACTTACTTGTAGTAGATCCCTGGGCCGGCATTGGCGCTGAGTTGTGTGGATGGTTGAAGGACTAGCGGTGTACATACCCAATTTATCTCATATTGTTCTACTCTTTCCATGCGATAATACCGAAAAGGTCTTTTCCCCTCTTAAAAAACCCTTTTTCAGCCACTTCCCTTCTGCGTTCCAGCTAGGTCGTGACACATACAGTCTTCTTGACGGTACATTCTCGCCCCTCCCCTCCTGGCAGAATCTGCATCATGACATCCATTATTGCGCTCAGCATATCCTGAAGGCACCTTTGCATGTATACATATAGTCCTCCCCATTTGTCGGCCGCTGATCAAGCAAGGTCCGCCGATTCAGAATGACTGTCGCCAACAACGACTTACTCCTCCATAGCAGAACCCTCCTCCTCAGAAGAGCTTTCCTCTACAGGAAGAGGATGAGGAACATCCACGATCCCCAAATCCCACAGATCCTCCACAGTGCGGTTCCATTCCTGTGTCAATCTGCAAAACTCTCTACTGAACCCCGAACAATCCTCCTCGTCATAAGCCGTCCTGATGCGTCTGCTGTACTCGACTACTTTATCCAAAAAGTCGCCAGACTGCTCTGTCGGCTCTCCATATTCCAGCTCATGGGCTGCTTCCTGATTGAAATCTCGGGAAATGATGATTGATCTTGTATGACGTGATTCAGGCGTGTCTGCTGGGTGCAACGCTGGGAACCCGCCATTGTACAGCTGGGCCACGCTCTCTATATACTCTGTTTCGCTCGTGTCTACATCTTCTCGGTACTCATCGGGGACGTCGAGATGTCCAGAATGGAGAGCCCAAGAAGCGAGCCTGCCACGCTCATTCCGGACCGTCAGATCCACAACGTCATATTCAGACTTGAGCTTGAAATCGGGTCGGCTGCCTGCCTTTTCGAAATTTTCTAACAACTCTGCATTGATACTGGTTCCGTCAGGGAACCAATTCGTGGCTCTATAAAAACGTTTTCAGCATATATACGGTTAATCGAGTCATGTCAGACGCACCTCAAGGGTTTGATACGTAGAAACAATAGCTCTGTCAGCAACAGGGTTGGATCAGGGTTAGCGGGTGGACCCCCTTCCGTGGGATGAGAAATGTACTGGAGCCAGTAGTCATCTTGCGGTTCTATCGCATGTCAGTCAACGGTCTCATCTTTCTAAGGCGATATCTTCTATCCGCGCACATGCACTGATGGCTCGGTGAAGGTTCGCAAATCAAAACTCACGCTCAATATCACTGGAATCATCCGTGTCTGACATGCTCTCGTTATAGTCCGACATATAGAAGCAATGGTCGTATGCAATGCAGCAGTAATATCTTGTAGTGAGAAGAAGCAAAAAATGACTTGACTGTTATGTACTTGTACTTGTTCCCCAACGCGCTTCGTCGAAAGGATGGCCTCTCTCGATCTCCCTTTGACTATACCAGGTGACATCGCTGAAAGTTCTTATGGTTGACTCGGACTTTCAATCAAATGCCAATCAGACAAAAAAGACTCCCGAATTGAACCGTGTTGGCTGAAAATGGCATGAACGAAAGTAGCGGTCGGTCCTGTTTTAGCATCCCTTTCCTTTGTTACGAGTTATATATGAGCTTGGATTTCCATACTAGCAGATGCAGTTTGCCGGATATGCAAAGCCTACATCGACGAGGCCCTCGGAATCCCTCCCGAAGTTTGTGGGCCCGTCTTCAGTAGTACAGACCGATTGATCATGACTCGCGAAATAGATGATGAAGGCAAAGATGCCAATGTAGACGACTTTGATCCATTCTGCACCCAGCTATCATCGACTACAGCGGGGGCGGGAGCCCAGTCACACCAGCACTTCGCAACGCTTCCAAAGATTCACTCCACGAACCAACCAACCTCTGGAAGTTTGGACTGAGATTAGCCCATCCTTCTTGATAGTAAAATTTTCTGGCCGAGGCATTGCCAGCTCGCGTCTCCTCCAACTGCTCCTCAGTGACATCTTCAAGGGCGCCTTCCTGCATGTCCCGGAGTGTGCTTTGGTTGAGATCCATAGATACCATCATTGTCCTGACAGCCTTGACCTCCGGTAAATCGTATAAGTCGACAAGGCGCCGAGGATCTACGGGGGGGCATTCCGCCCCCTTGTGCTTTCGGCGGGCGGTCTTATGAGCGAGGAAACGGCGGTGGAATGGCGTAGTTGGCGGAAGTGTCTGGAGAAGGAAGTGTGGGACGGGCTGCAGAGTAGAGTTGGAGTGGAGCTAGTGAAGGCGAGAGGGAGGACGCTGAGGATGTGAAGAGCAGGGAGCTCGGAGTAGTTGGAGGCGAGAGGGTTTTTTATTGACTTGGCCAGTCGGGCCGTCTTGTCTTTTTCCCTCATTTCGACATCGTCTTACGTACAGTCCAGTACATAGAACTGATGAGCGCTACAAACTCTATGTAACCCTCTTCACCTCATATCGGAAACCCCTCTATGTTTCGTTCTGAAATGCTGTCATTGAAATCGGCGTTGCTTTCAATTATAAGTGCCATGACCGTGTCTGGTACGCTGATGCCCAGATTACCGCGGCTGATGGCCCAAGCCGCGAGGTGCGCACGGTCGTTCCAGAAACGAAGCTGCGTAGCATCAACAAGGGTGAGATTGACACTCGGGCGACTGTCTCGATAGTCGCTGAGGGCATTTCGGTTCCACTCTGATGCTTCTCGCATCCAATCTGCACCTCTGACAGTCGACATCAGCTCATCAAGCCCAAGAAGTCACCTCAGCACAGGAAATTGATTGGGAGGCGCAAAAAAGAAGACCCACCTTGAAGGACGACTACGCAAAAGCGACAGCTGCCGCTCTATCAGCGGGTGATGAGCATCTATCCCCGCCGTTTCCCTACCCCGCGAGACCTCTTCCGCCCAAGAGGTAGCCTGGGGCGCCACACGCTGCTTGGCTTCATCAATCTCCTCCGGGCCCAGCTGTTGCTCTTATTGCTCTTCGGGCCAGAGGAGGTCATTGTCCCTGTCAGTGCCGTACGCTAGAGACGAAGCGGCCAGGAATGCGGGTACGCTTTCAGGGGCGGATGAGGTGAAGGTGTCGGTGGATGGGTCGTAGAACTTAAAGCTGTCTTGGTTGACATCTTTCCCACCTCTAGAACCATTGTCGGACATGACCGAGGTTGGCTTCCTTGTGCAATGTTTGTGGGAGGGGTTGGAAGCTGATAGAAGATGAAGCGTGGTACTTGCGACTGGCAAAAAGGTCAGGTGTTTATGTAGTTCTTTGCATGTACGCTGTTTTGTGGGCAATTCCCAGCTGTTCAATACCATGTTCGTCCTCATAACTCATGAAAAGACTGATTGAAGGCCATCTTTTGCGAAACGAATCATGCTGCTAAAGATGGGACAAGTGGAAATTCTGGTTCTATTCGATATCGAGCGTGAAATCCGGTCGGCAGTTTTCCCCCCGAAAGTCACCAAGCACCTTTCGGTTGATACTAGCCCCTTTCTCTATCCATTCCAAACCTCTGTCACCAAGCCTCAGCACATGCTATTAGAGCAAATACACGATTCAGCATGAACAAAAAGGTGAGACTCACTTTGATGGCTGCATACGTAGATATGACAACTGCCTCTCCACCTGTGGAAGTGGGTGCGCAAACGGTTTGTTGTTTGTGGCCTCGGTAACCTGGTCGAGCCAGCGTTCTATTCGGGGCCCTGCTTCTTGCCTTCCAGCTTCCTCCTGCTCATCGTCCTCCGGCCAGATGAGCACCCTATCTTCAGACGGCATAGAGGAAGACTGGCTGGGGACGTCGTAAGAATACTCCTCCGCGCTCTCCTCGATGCCTTCTTCATCGTCAACTTTTGAGAGGGGTTTCTCGTGAAGAAGGGACATTGAGAAAATTGGTACTGTGTATGGATATTGGGTAGAATGGGTAAAAGTGATTGATGTATATGATTTCTCTCGATACCGCATGCTGATTGCTGATGATTTCTGTATCTGATCACCGACTGCGGTTATTGAAAGGTGGCTCGTACTTTGGATAAATCAGGAGACTTTGCTGAGTTTACAGGAGGCCTTCGTTCTGACGAAAATCCTATGTTATCGCTCCAATTTGGATTGTCATATGTATCAGCCGCCACAGAGATCCTTCCGAACACCATCTGTTCCGTCAGTCGACGTTTTGAGGAAAGTCCTGAGCACCCATCAGCAACAACTCTTTGCGCATATCAGCTCGCATTTTCTTATCCGGTATGTGCGGTGTTGAGAGCACATAGGGGTTCTGATTTGGAGAGAGTCGACGATGTCGAGCCCATTCGCAGAAGTGCGAATACAAAATAGCCCCAATATGCATTTTGCAGTCTCCTTCATCCGGTATCCGTAACCTCGTGAAGGGGCCAAGGCCTAGGCAAAAAGAGGATCCAAGAAGTCCAGCACCATCTATTTCAGGGGACACGGTGTTCAGGTCATTTTCGCCTCCCGTAAGAATCCCATAGATTCACTGAACTGTGTTGCGTGGCGGTCTCCGAACTACTTGAGATCGCGGTACGGAGATGTTTCCAATCGTAAGTGTTCGAATGTATGTTCTGTTATGAAACGTACAATATCTGACTGTAAGCCTTTACGTCTGGCAATGATTTCATTGTTAAACTAGAAGATCAGACACGATACGGTGAGCAGAGGTAGTAGATGGATGGGCAAAATGATAATAGTATATAGAGCAGCCTTGAACGTAGGCGGAAAGCACCGTCTTTCCATACCTGATTATCATCCCGCCGTTTGTCTATCGATCTAGCGTACCATCGACCTTCTACGGCGGTAGATGAAGGGCTTCCATCCCTGCGTCCTGCAAATCTTTCACGGTATCATTCCATGCATTGAGCAGTGTTCGGAACTTGGGATCAAACTCCTTCCAACACTCTTCGTCTTTAAAACCCCTCATAATATATGCGTTGTGGTTTCGTATATGTAGCATAACTTCGCTAGGCGGCTCAGTGAAGCCCTCCAGTTTCTCCTGGAGGACTCCTTTGTTGAAGTTTGTGGATACGAGCACAGAGCTGATACTTTTCGTTTCGAAAGATTCAGCTGGGACAAAGGGCGGAACCCCCTCCTCAATCAACTCATTGGCACTAGTCTGATATTCCGTGTCGCGCGCATATGCATCTGATTGCATATCCTCCGTGACGCTTAGATAGCCATTGCTGAGCGCACGACTGGCGAAGCCTGCTCGCTGATTCATCAGGTTGTATGTCACAGCGTCAACGACACTGAGGTTGAGCTTGGCATCATCAGGTTTGCTGAATTCTTCTCGATATTCGCCGAGCGCCTTTTGGTTGCTGGTGGCGCCTTCTTGCATCCAATCCAAGGCTCTATGAGAGTGTCGATCTTAGCATACGCATTACTCATATTTCTGAGACGTTTACAGTCATAGGGAGACAAGACGCACCTTGAGGGTCGTATACGTAGATACGACAATTGTCTCTCTATCCCTGCATTGGGGTGTGCGAGTAGCATATCGTGCGAAGCCCTAGTAACGTTCGCGAGCCAGCGGTCGATTCGAGTGGCTGTTTCGTGCCCCCTTTAAAGTCTGCCTTCCCATGATATTGCCTTGCTCTTCAGCTGGAATGAGGAGTTCATTGTCAGAGTAAAGATAACCAGAAGACTCCTCCTCGACATCCTCCTCGAAATATTGGAAATCCTCAACATCCTCGGCATCCTCGACATCCTCCTCGTTGACTGTCGATGAGTTTTCGCCATCCTTGGCATCCTTGACGACTTCTTCCTCGACTTCCTCCTCGACCACTGATGAGTTTTTGTCATGAACGGACATTGCAAAACCTTGTGTATGTACTTTACTCAGACCGTAGTGTTGGAAAACAAGATATATACGCAACGCCCCAAGGCAACCGCCGCCTGATAATGCCTGAACCAGTCTGCGCTCGTTCTCCGATTCGGTCGGTCGAAAGGACGGATCTCCTTATCAGTATTGTTAGATGACATAGCAGAAAGGTATCGGATATCTTCGTATTCGATTTTGGTCCAGTACCTATTATTGTCCACCGAGCTATAATGCAATCGACATATAGGCATGGTCCTGGCTTCTTCACCCTCTGGTTTGAAATAACACCACAGCCGAATAGGCTGGCCAATAAGGGTGGGACATGAGGAGTTGATATGCCGACATACATAACGTGGGATATCCTACACTTGTTATAATGGTATGTAGTTAGCCTACTAGTAGAGTGAGAACAGGAGATTGAAATCGATTTCAGAGCCCGCGTAACTCGTCCAAGGAGACCATGAAGCTCCTGCTTGCCCTATCACCTTCACCTTTGGTAAGGCCATTTAGCACCGATGCATATCATCAACGAGGGCGGGGTGAACAGCCGAGCCAAACAATGCTCCGTGCATGTTCGTTGAACGCCGCGCAGGAAAGGAACCCGCCGCCGCAACAGAGGACCCCGAAAAAAGCATAAAGAGGCCGTGCCGATTGGGATGACGTCAGGGCGGATAATCCGCGGCCTTTCAAAAGGATCCGCAGCGCCTTTTGTTGTTCTTTTTCGAGAGGCAGCCAAGAGAACGAGGGCAAAGGGTGCGCTATGCTTCTCTTTCATCCATAGAGCTATATAAGGAGAAGGGAGTCGGGGGGTATCTTTTCACGGCATACATATACCTCCGGTTAGTCCATGTACCACGTCTCATCGCAGGGCGGGGAATCTCTGCGATGAAACCGACCTCCACCTTGTTTTACCGAGCTAATCGTGAGCCCGTTTGTGTGATCATCCGCATCCTGTGCATGCATATCTTTTCCTAGCATAATCTCCTCTCTGTAACGATTAGAAAAAAGGTATACATTCGCAGCCGCAAACATCAGCAAACCACTAGTTTGTCTACCATCGTAGCTTTAGAACCAGGGCGGTACTATATCCTCCCCGAACGTCATTTCGTTTCCTAGCATCGCGTTTTTGCAAGTCACCCTTTTATCCTAAAACACCAAATATCTGTGAGTTCACATCTCTCTTCTCTTCCCACGCGGCTTGCTTACAAGCCTTTCTCTTTCTTTGTCCTTTTCCTTCGCCTTGACGCATATCGCTCTCCCCACGACATTCCTGCAAACGACTCATGAACTCGCCCACTCACTCCCAGTCCGGCCACGAACCCCTCCTCGCCTACGCCTCCCACCCAGGCCAGAACAACTCCCACCGCTACTCCGACTACTCATACACATCCAACGACTTTGGTGGCATGTCCCACCGCAACTCGGGTGTCATCTCTCCTTCCCCCTCCCTCCCGCGCGTCGACTCTGAAATGTCTCATACCTCTGCCTACTCTGCCAGCCCTTATAGCGGTGGTGGCTTTGGGCCTACAGCAAATGCCGTTGGCGGCGTATCGACAGCAAGCGTACGTGGGCCCCTGCTAAGACAAGCAGGCGCGCCAGCGAGCAACCAGCCCATGCCTTCGAACGAAGACGACGACCTCGACGATGATCTCCATACCTTCACCCCGGGCGAGCTACGCGCATCGAAAATCTCCACCCCCTTCACCTTTACCTCCCTCCGTGGATGGCTCAACGCCCTCACCCTCTTTGTTCTCGCCGGCGGCGGCGTCATGCTCTTCGCAGGCTATCCCATCCTCACCTACTACTATGACGACGGCTCTTCCAGCGGGTCGGCAACGGCGGGATACAATGTCGGAGGTGTCAACGCGTCGGGGCAGTACCCCGATATCCCCGGACTGCCTAGTATGATTGACGACGATACGCCCGAGTGGGCACATTCAAGGACGGGAGATGATGGTGGTGAATGGACTCTGGTATTCTCGGACGAATTTGAAAAAGAGGGCCGGACGTTCTTTGAAGGCGACGACCCTTTCTTCACGGCTATGGACATTCACTACTGGGGTACTGGGTTCGTGTCTCTCTCTTTCTAACCTTCTCCCAAGCTGACATCGCAAAGTGATCTCGAGTGGCTCGATCCTTCCGCCGTCACCACCAAAGACGGCCACCTCGTCATGACCATGACCCAAGAACCCATCCACGACCTCAACTTCAAGTCCGGGATGGTTCAGTCCTGGAACAAGCTTTGTTTCAACAAGAACGCGTATATCGAAGTCTCTGCTAGTTTCCCCGGAAACACCAGTCTGGGTGGATTCTGGCCTGGTATCTGGACGATGGGCAACCTAGGTCGACCGGGTTATGGTGCCACCACCGACGGAACTTGGCCGTGCGTCGCCCTTCCTCTCCCTATCCACGCGTCAAAGCTGACTTTGCAATAGATACTCTTACGATACCTGCGACATCGGAACCCTTGCCAATCAAACTTGGGTCAACGGTACCGGCCCCGCCGCCACCCTCACCACCGGCACCAACAGCGGTCCCCTCTCGTACCTCCCCGGCCAGCGAGTCTCTGCCTGCACTTGCGAGGGCGAAGATCACCCGGGGCCTAGTAACGACGTGGGCAGGTCTGCGCCGGAGATCGATATTATCGAAGCGCAGATCATCTTGGATGAAGCTCGAGGAGAAGTCAGTCAGAGTTTGCAGATCGCACCTTGTACGTCTCCTTTTGCTTCTTTTCAGTGTCCGAGCTGATAGGGGTATAGTCGATGACCATTACCAATGGAACAACGCCTCTGAAAACTTCAAGATGTACGACACCCATCTCTCGTACTGGAACACCTACCTCGGCGGTACCACCCAACAAGCCCTCTCCTCCCTCACCCGTGTCCCCCGAAACATCTACTACAACCAAGAAGGCGAGTCCGGCAAGTTCGGAGTGTTTGGGGTCGAATACCAAGCGTTCCCCGATAAGAGGGAAGACGGGTACGTCACTTGGTACAGTGATAACAAGACGAGCTGGACGCTCTACGGAGGTACGCTGGCGCCGAATAACAAGACGGAGATTGGGCAGAGGATGGTCCCGGAGGAACCTTTGGCTTTGGTACGTATCTTCCTTCCCCGTTAAATGGTGTATTCTGACAAGAAGGGGTAGATCTTCAACTTGCACATGTCATACAACTTCCAAGCTGTCGATCTCGACCACCTCGTCTGGCCCAACTATCACCGTATCGACTATATTCGAGTGTACCAAAAGCCCGACCGTATCAGTGTCACCTGTGACCCCGATGGTGTGTATCCTTATTTGGAAAGCCAAGGGACATGTAAGCTGACCATAGTGCGCAGATTACCCCACGGCAGAGTATATCGAGAACCACTTGAACGCCTATTCCAACCCGAATTTGACCACTTGGGAGGATGCGGGGTATACGTACCCGAAGAACAGTCTGATAGACGATTGTTAGACGTGTTTGACGCAGTGCGGAAAGAAGGAGGTTTTGAGGAAGAAGACGGCGAAGAAGGCGGTGGTGAAGAGTGCGCGTACAGCAGTTTCTGCGAAATTTTTCACGACTTGATGAACGGACAATCTCATTATATCATTCCTCATTTTTTACTCATAGATATGGAGCCTTGGTCTCCTTTGTAGCTACACTATTGCATGGAAATATACCCAGCATCTTCAAAGCCCATTCAAAGCATCTCTGGCATGCCGAGAGACGGCGATGGCCGCCCGGGCGGAGCTTGAGTCGTGACGCGGGGTAATTTTGACTCGACCAGCGAGATTTCGCGGAAAACTCATCTTGAATAGACATTCTGCAATAAACTCCATCTTGCACATTTCCATCTCCTTATTCCAATACTGATGCCTTCTCCCACTAGAGCTTCTGTACGCGACGTGAGTAGGCGGAGGACGACCAAGAAATGGCGGGAAACTGATGAGTCATAGGCCATGGACCTCCTCGACGACCGTAGAGTCAAGTGTGTTCGACCTCTCATCCCGTACGTTCCTCCCTCTCTCTCTCACTCCTACCCATGCTCACATTCATCGCCAGTCCTCAAATCCTCCACGAAGAGTCAGTAGAAATCTAATCTAACCGAGATGCGGGGCAGCCATGACTGATTCGCTTAATATTACAGGCTGCCGCTTTCCTTGAGAGGTGCTCAGACGGTTTTGGATGGTAGGAGGCAGGTCGAGGCTGTCATCAAGGGGGACGACGACAGACTACTTGTTATTGTTGGGTAAGTGGCCCTTCTACGGATTAGGATCGTACGGCTGATCATAAAATAGCCCGTGCTCCGTCCACAACCCCGAACAGGCCGTCACCTACGCCAAAAAGCTGAAGGAGTATGCCGATGCTGCCGAGGATGATCTCGTGATCGTCATGCGAGTCTACTTTGAAAAGCAAGTAGCCTTGTGTCTTGTCGGTAGGCAGTGCTGACTTTTGAGCAGGCCCCGAACCACCGTTGGCTGGAAAGGTCTCATCAACGACCCCGACATGAACAACTCTTACCAAATCAACCGCGGTCTGAAGATTGCCCGAAAGCTGTTGTTGGACATTACCGAAATCGGTCTTCCCACCGCTGGCGAGTTCCTCGGTAAGTCGCTCTCTTGTCAGTCTATCGACCAGATCTGACGAGGCCGCAGATGTTATCTCGCCCCAGTACCTTGCCGACCTCTTCGCCTGGGGTGCCATCGGCGCCCGAACGACCGAGTCTCAAGTCCACCGTGAACTCGCCTCTGCCCTCTCCATGTCTGTCGGCTTCAAGAACGGTACCGACGGCTCCATCGGCATCGCTATCGACGCCATCAAAGCCGCTGGCGCTGGCCACACTTTCTTGTCTGTGACGAAACAGGGCTTGTCCGCTATTGTTGAGACTGAGGGCAACGCTTCGACACACGTCATTCTGAGAGGCAGCAGCAAGGGACCGAATTACGAGGAGGAGGAGGTCGCTGCTTGCGGAGAAAAGTTGACCAAGGCTGGCCTTCCCGCCAAGATCATGGTAAGCACCCATCCTCAACGGTCAAAACGTCAGCTAACCATCTTCTAGGTCGACTGCTCCCACGGCAACTCTTCCAAACAACACCAAAACCAAATCAAAGTCGCCTCCTCCATCTCCACCCAACTCTCCTCCACCACCTCCACCACCTCCTCCTCCCTCATCGGCGTCATGATTGAGTCCAACATCCACGAAGGCAGGCAGAATGTGCCTCCCGAGGGTCCTGTCGGCCTCAAGTACGGTGTTAGTGTGACGGATGCTTGTGTCAGCTGGGAGCAGACGGTTGGTATTTTGGATGAGCTGAGGGCTGGTGTGCAGGGTAGGAGGGAAACTGTCAGGGTCAAGAGGGAGGCGGAGGAGAGGGCTTGAAAAGAGTAAAAGTGCCTGTTGAGGGCTTTCTTCACACGTTGTATCATCTCATGCATTCTTCATTTCGCTCATTCCTTCCCGATAGACAACCTTCACGCTCCCTTTCATCTCATTGCGCGACACGGCCGCATACCATCAAGGAGCCAAAAATACCCGCACGATGCCACTTTCCCAGATTTAGCTGCATGGTCTGATCGGAGAAGAGGAGTTCAAAGCTGGGAATTGCTCAAAGTAGGGGGCATCTGACAAACCTTTCACGTGCTGAGAAACTTTACACAATGATAACTTGGGGAGAAACCCTACATAAGAGTGCCGGTTCTCTTCTTCTACAGCAATACAGCACTCGCGCACAAATATCAATATGTCAGACCACGATGAGAACACTCCAAACGTCAGAGATGATGTCTCTATGGTCGATGTTACCGAAACGGCTGTGATTACTCGTACACCTGGTTGGGGCAACACGCTCAGTTCTCTGGCAACTCCCAAGGAACCACAAGCAAGCAACGCTGAAATCGACCGTTGGATTGAAGTGGCTGCTGCCAGTGCCGACGCCGACGACTTGGAGAGTCAACTCCCAAATCCATTGACGCAAAGGCAACTGTCGTATCTCCGTGCCGACCCCGCCTTGTGGGTCACCTCTCATATGTTCCTATACATTTACTGATGCGGGGGTCTAGGGGGTCGATCTGGATGCAGCAGGCAAGTGCCTACAACCGAAAGGTCCTGAGCCAATACCAGCAAACCCGCCCAGAACTCAACGTCAGCAATATCACTTCTGTCGAATTCTTTTTCCATAACGACCGAAGCAGGCTCGCTTCTTGGGCTATCGTCAAAGGGAGCGCTAACATTGATGTCACAGAGGACGTATATATGAGTGCGGCTCTGAACTCTGGAGAATATCAGGAGAGCCTGGAGGCGCTGGCCAAGGAAGGTCTGTGGGTACACGAGAGACCACCACCCTATGCCGCACACGCTTTGCGCATCCGATCACTCCTGATATCTAGAGACCTCAATGAAACTGCTGTGCGACAGATCAACGAAGGAGGCTTTACCGAGCTGCCTAGTGACCAGCTGAACGAGACGCGATTGTTCAATGCCAATACAACAAAGAGGTTTGAATACGAGGGTTGGCCAGCAGATTTCGGGCAGGATTTCGAAGAACTCGTCAACTCTTGGGCCGAGTCCTTGAACGCTTTGCGGGATGCGGGAATCACTGATAAAGAGGAGGAGGAGCTATGATACCTCGTTATAGCTGAACAAGCAGCAAGCCAAGACGATGAATTTACTTGAATGATGTAACAACGCTTCGTCTTGGTTGTATCGTGTTTCTGTTAAGCCGAAAGACGGGGTGATTTCACTTTCTCTCAAGTCCAGTTTGCAAATGTTCGATCCATGGCAGCATGGCCAGCGTGCATCGAACCTCCAGATACGCGCAGGGCAGAACCAAACAACCCAAAGCGGCGAAAGACTGCGGCGGCGACCCCCGCCCCCACTGCGAAACGTCACAATCTTGCACAGATCTTGGCTGCGCTATAGATCTCTTTCCATTCTTCTCCTACCTCAACATATTACAACCGCAAAATGGAGTACGTCGCCAAGGCTACCGATCTCGTCAAGAATTTTAAGGTATGTCTATTCGAGGATTCGAGTTGGGGGAGACAAAGGGGAGCGGCGAGTACTAGTGAAAACGAATCGAGCTCATACTCTCTGTAGGAGACCAGGCTTTCTACCTTGAAGCCGCCTCAAGAATTTGTAAGCCGACATAGCTCTGGGCATCATCCCAATACTGGATGCACTCCAAGTCGACGCGGATGATCTGCCGTAGTGCCTATCGTTGACCCCTTCTCCAGTTCGATCACCGCCAACTCTCGCGACCCCAAGATTTCAACGAGGCCACCTCTGTACGTCTGTTCCCGTCTTGCTTGTACCAATGCACCTATCTATGCTGATCGGATTGCAGAGATTGACCTACAACACGAGACATTTCTCCGGTAACTATCTCATTGTGATTGCCGTTCTCATCATCTATGCCTTGTGCGCTACTCTCTTTGTGTATAGGCTGGTATACTGACCGTCCTATAGGTTGACAAACCCTTTGTTGCTGATCGCTATCGTATTCTTCGCTGGTGGATTTGCTGCCATCAACAAGTTCGGTACGTCCTGTCGCCTCTAATCGTAGTCTCAAACTAACCACTGTCCCTCTACCTCTCCCTGGCACTCTTCTACAGTCCCCGAACCCCTCCAAGTCGGCGACCACCTCATTACCCAAAAATCCCTCTACACCGCCCTATTCGTCATCGGTATCCCCATCCTCTACATCGCCTCCCCCGTCTCCACCTTTTTCTGGCTCGTCGGAAGCTCGGCCATTTTGATCTTGGGCCATGCGGTTTTGATGGAACCTGGAGTGGAGAGCGAGTATGCTGGTGTTGAGAGCGTCTAGATGGTTTTGTCTAGTGGAGGTGGGCGTGGAGATGCTTGATCTTGAGAGATGATGTCTTGTGCTGCCAGCAATGTGACCCGATAGATACCACTCTGGCCATTACCAAATCATTCAAAAGCAAGATGTGTACAATGCTCAACACCAATCCATTATATTATCGTCTCTTTCCGAACCTCCCACTATAAACACGCCTCAACCCATCTTGCTCTCCACCTGCGAAACCAACTCTCGTCCCTCATTCACCAACCCCCTCCCAGCAGGTCCTCCCTCCACACCCGCCCTCTCAACAAACCTCACCACTCCATCTCTGACTAGAGGCAAAACCCTACCGGCCCACGTCTCAATCTCTGCATCTCCCGGTTGGAGATGGGTGAGCGATCGGCGGAGCCATTCGAGTAGAGTCGGCGTGTTGGGAGAAAGAGGGAGGTCGGATAGGGCAGTTGAGAGCTGCGAATGATCAGCCACCGCCCTTAGACTGAGAACGGAAGGAAAAAGAACTTACTCGATGCACAACCGTCAACAACACAGCCTGCCCAAGCGGGCTCTTCCCCGCCCCATTTACCGGCAAAATATAATCCGTCAACGGCCTATGATCCATCACCAACTGCACCGTCTCTGGCACCGATTGTTTCGAAAGCACCGCAATAAACGTATCCGCCAACTGCGCCGGGGAAGGCGGCGGGAAGGGAGGGTGCTGGGGGAACTGGTTCGGGTGAGGGCCGGGGTGGGGGAATGGTGGATGAGGAGGAGGTTGGTGGTGCTGAGGGACGGGGTTGGAAGGAGCAGTAGGATGGGCGTGCGCGGGGACGATAGGTGCCGAAGCCGATACTTCCCTCGACCCCTGCCCCTGCTGACTCTGCAACAACTTTCTCAACTCTCTCATCTCCCCCCTCACCCCCTCCCACCTCTTCCCCTCCTCCTCCCTCTCCTTCTCCCACTGCACCCACCTCTCCCTCGCCTCCTTCCTCTCCTTCTGCCTCTCTTTTTGCTCTTGCAGCTCTTCTTTCGTCGGGCCCTTGGGCGCGGGGGGAGGAAGAGGCGGCGGGGAGAGGGATTTGCGGAGCTGCAAAAGCTCGGAATGGAGGTCGGCAGAGATAGCTTGCGTTTGTCGGACCGTCTCTTGCCTGAGGACAGGCAACAGGTCTTGCACGACCGCCTCTTGCACAACAACCCTCACAACACTATCCACACTCTCATCCACCTTTCGCCCCACCTCCCTACCAACTAGGCTCACCACCTCGCGCGTACTAGCCTTGCTCGCGCCGAGGATGTCTTTACCGATGTTTTGGGAAAGCGCAGGCAGGAGAGTAGACTGGAGGGAAGACGATAGGGCCGAGGTGAGGGAAGCGAGGTAGGCAGGGGAAGAGAGGTATTCGACTTTCTGCGTGATCGGGAATAGAGCCGTATTGAGATCTTGCTGGAACTGTCTGCCCAATCGAGCTTCCAACTACATTCCATCAGCCCCACTCTGCCCATGAACCGACGATACTCACTTCTCCCAGCAGACTCTCCACCTCATCCCTACCAACACCCTCCGTACCCAACAACCCCGCCTCTCTCAACTGCCCTTCCCTCTCCCTTACTTTATCCTCCTTCTCCTTCTTCCCAGCCTTTTCCTTATCCTCTTGCTCTTCGCGCTTCAAATCCCTCACCATCCTCTCCTCTCTCTCCTTCTGTTTCTTCTCCTTCTTCCCCTTCTTACCCCCATCCCCCCCACTGACCGACCCCGGCGCAGAGGGCGTACCCGCCTTCTCACTCTCAGAAGGATGGTTCGGCGCCAAAGTCGTCCCACTCGGAAGAGGGTGTGAAAGCGTCGCCTGCTGCTGTTGTTGTTCGTGCTCACGCTCACCGATGACCTTGATTTTCGGCGCGGGGATACTAGCCGGGGCAGCAGGTCGACTCGCCCAAGCCTGTACAGGCTCCGGCTTCTCCACCACCTTGGTCCACCCTTCTTCCTCTTCCTTCTCCTTCCCCTTCTCCTTCTCCCCATCCTCCTTCTCCTCAGCCCCAAGCCGGCCTTGGGCAATCTCAACCCCAAGCCGCGTAAGATGCAGACTAACAGCGCCCTTATCCGTCTTCACCACGAAATCCAAATCACCCTCTTCCCTCCCCGGTTGGTTCCCGAGCGAGGCTATCATCGCTAACGAACTGACCCCCGTCTCTTCCCCTGCCGAGGAGGGAGGGGAGGGAGGAGAGAGGGGAAACTCTGACAAGAGGTCAAACCCAACCACCCTCGGGCCATTCGGCAGCGACACGTCCCTCAGCGGCGCACTGCCTTTAAGCGCGTATCGGAATGCGTAGAGCGAGTTGCGCAAGTACGGCGCGATAAACAATAGTCCGGACCACGGGTCATACACCGCTTTCGTCCCGTGCTTCCCCTTCCCCTTCTCCCCCGCCGAGGCGGAAGGCGGGGGGAGGAACCGAATACTCGACAAAACAGCAATATCCGTCGAAATCTGCACCAAATCCCAATGCCCCCCACCCCCCCTCCCAACAAGCACATTACTCTCCACAAACAAACACCCGCTCACCCTCTCATGCACCGCACTCCCGCTCCCCGGCAACATCCTCGCCCACACCCTGTTCAAGCTCCCAAGCGAATACAGCGTGAAATGCCCCGTCTCCGACAAGAGCCCGAGGGCGACGTTTTGGGCGTTGATGCAGAAATCGACGAGGGGGCCGTCGGATTTGAGTAAGGGGCTGATGGAGGGGGTGGAGGCGGTGGAGAAGAGGGAGGGAGGGTGCGGGGCGGGGCCTTGGCCCGGGAGGGAGGGGTGCAGGGGGTTGAACAGCACGACACCTTCTTTACCGCCAATGACAAGCTGATCCCCACCATGCCGCTTCACCCACTCCACCCTCTCCGCGCCTTCCGTCCAATACCCCCCCTGCCCCCCCTGTCCAGCTCCAGCGGTATGTCCAACAAAAACAAGCTCCACCGGCGGGTTATCATACGCCCACCCGGGGGGCACGCGCCAGATCCAGAGGGACCTGTCCGAGGCGAGGGCGGCGATATAGACGGGGGTCACGGCGAGGTCGATGATGCTCCCTGACCCCGACCCGGGCCCAGAGAGGGGGGTGGGGGTGGTAGTTTGGAGCATGAGTCGGGCACCGGAGCGCGAGTCGATCAACCTAATCCTGCCTACAAGTATTCTTTCATCAGCTCTTCTTCCCCTTCTTCCCCTTTCTTCTCATCCCCTCAGAAGATGAACGCAAAAACACACCTTTAGACATAGTATACCCCATAAACTGCCTCGTAACCCCCACCTTCCTCCCCGCCCCAAACCCACCTTCCCCTTCCCCACCTGCAGGCGTCTTGGTGATCGTGATAGCCTGCACATTCAGCGCCCCTGGTGTAGGGGGGACGATATGCTCAGCGTTGGGTTTGCCGAGGTTGATGGTGATGTGCGAGGCTGTCTCTTTAGGTCTGTGTTTACGCAAAAGGTCAGCTCTGTCCAGGAAAATCCCAGGGGGATGGAAGAAGGGAGAAGGGGACGTACCTGTGGGGTGGCTTACCATCCTCTCCCACTTCCTGCCCGGGCAAAGGCAAGGGAGTAAGCTTGGGTTGGGCGAGAGCGGAAGGGCTGGGTACGACGACTTCCTTCTTCACATTGTTCGGAAGCCCAGGAGCAGGGACGGGAGCGGGGGAAGGGTCGAACGCAGCAATCGCAGGGTCTTCCACCTCTCCCTCTCCCTCTCCCTCTCCCACTTCCTCTCCTCCTTGTTCTTCTTGCTTCACATCCACATCCACGTCCACCTTTTCGGCTTGCTCCTTCCTCCCACCTTTCTTCGCCTTGGGAGTCTGCTTCGTAGCGATAGTAGGGATAGTCTGCGCTGGGATGGAAGCTTGAGTCACAGCCTCCCCATCCACATCCGACCTGACGGCCGTAGCACTCCCCGGAGCAGGACCAGAACCGGGGTAAACAGCAGAAGCAGAAGCAGCTCCAGCTCTCGCCCGAGGCTCAGCCCTGTACGACCCCACAGGCGACGCCGTAGAAGACGTTGCACTGCCCTTGTTGGGAGGGGTAGAAGTAGGATCAAAAGCGTCAAAGGGGGAGATGAACGTAAACTTTGCTGGGACCGATGCTTTTGGCGTGCCCGTACCCTTTTGGACCTCGACCTCGGCTTGGGCTTGGGCTTGGGGGTTGTCGTCCTCCACCACAGACCCCGGCGCAGGCGCAGGCGCAGGCGAGTGGGCGGGCTCGTGGGCGGGAGTCGTCGCCCTGGGCCCGCGGAGGGACGCCACAGACGGAGAAGCAGACGCGACAGAGGCGGGAGGCGGGGGCGAGGTGATAATACCCGATTGGTGTGCGATAACTGGCGGGGAGGTGATACTATCAGGGGATGGGAGGGCGAGTTAGTGATTGGTCTCGATAGCGGCGGAGCCATGTTTCCATGGGCATCATCCTGAACCCGCCCGTCTCTAAAAAGCAGTGGACATATGTATGATACGCGGATACGTTGGATGTCGGACCCCAGAGCGATCCCCGCCACAGCAGAAGAGCAGAAGCAGGACAAAAGAAGGAGAAGGACTCACCCCGTAAACGCAGGCGTGGTCGCCCCGCTGGCCGGCGTGCCCCCAAAGGACAGCATGCCCAGCAGCTTGCTCCTCTGATCAACCCCGCCAGTCAACCCGGGGGGACCACCCACGCTAGCCTGGCTCTGGCTTGCGGGTGATGGGGCCTTGGCAGTAGGAATAGGATTCGGCGGGGGCATCTGGATGTTCTTGAACAGGTCCGACAGGGAGAGGGGCGGCGGGGTGGGCACGGGCTCCCTGGGTGAAGAGGTAGATCCTGTTTGGTGGGAGGCCATCTTCAGTAGGCAGGGTGGGTGAGAAAGAGGTGGCGCAGTGACATGACATGAGGCAGAGGCGTGCAGCGGGGGTCGCCGCTCAACGGAACAAGCTTCCTTCAACGCTGTCTCGACCACGCAGCTGGGGGGCAGGGATGGGACAGGGGTGATGGGGGGAGGGTGTAAGCTTTGGGAGGGTGTGCATCCCCTGAGCAGGGTATATACCCGGGGTACATGGCCACTTGTTCCGTCTGCCACCAGCCCGGAGCTCGGACTGTCCTATCTCTTCTTATCCACCACACCGCTACTCCTCTCCATCCCAGCAACATATACCCTCCCCTCACTTCCTCTCACCCCATACAGTCATGCCCAATGCAAGGCATCACCCAACACGGCCCTCCCCGCCTCCACCCCTCCACCCCTTCTCTTACGTAACACACGCGCTATGGACCATTTGTTGTTGCACAGACCCGTGCCCTCTCCTACCTCACAACCCTCCCTCTCCCCCACTTTTCTCTTCATCTCTTTCATCAACGATCCAGCTTTTATTTCGCTCCTTTACACCCCTCAAGCATCAACTCAAGAGACAGACTTGAGCAACGGTCAAGAAGGAGAGGGATAAGGAAAAACAACAAGGCGATCAAAGCGCGCGCCCCTACGACTCTATAAGGACAAGAAAGAAAGACAGAAGGATTAGGAAGGGAAGACAAGATGGGCGGTCAATTGAGTAAAGCGCTTGGTACGTTCCCCTTCCTCATTCTTCTCCTTCTCCTTCTACTGGCTTGGCGAAGGAGAGATAGGGATGGGACGCGCGTGTGGGGAAAAGACCAGCAGTCCCGCGTGTCTTGAAATCTCCCTTCCCCCCCCCACGCTTCCACTGCTTCCATTCCGTATGTCGAACCAGACAAAAGGCTGACACGTTTTGTAGGCAAATTGTTTGGGAACAAGGAGATGCGGATTTTGATGCTGGGTCTTGACGCTGCGGGAAAGACTAGTGCGTTTCGCCCTCTTCTCTTCTTCTTCCATCCCCTGCTCCTCCCCTCTCCTTCAAATATCTCTCTCCCTCCATCTCTCTCCCTCCATCTCTTCCCCTCGCGCCCAACTCGAGACCAAACACATCAGAGCACAAAAAAAGCTAAGCTGACTCTCAAAAGCGATCCTGTACAAACTCAAACTGAACCAAAGCGTCACCACCATCCCCACCGTCGGGTTCAACGTCGAGACGGTTACGTATAAGAATGTCAAGTTTAATGTTTGGGTACGTCCCCCCCCCCTCCTGAAATTCTGAGGGAAGGAAGGCAAGGCTGATGGATTTTGGTTCTTTCTCTCCCTCTCCCTTCATTCTCCCTCTCCCTCTTCATGCTCGTCCACCCCCCCTCCCCCCCCCCGCCCCCCCCACCCACTTAACAGGACGTAGGCGGCCAAGACAAGATCCGCCCCCTCTGGCGGCACTACTACACCGGCACCCAGGGCCTCATATTCGTCATCGACTCCAACGACCGGGACCGTATCGACGAGGCCCGCGGCGAGCTGGAGCGGATTTTGAGCGATAGGGAGATGAGGGAGTGTCTGTTGATGGTTTTTGCGAATAAGCAGGATTTGCCGGGTGGTAAGTTCTTTCTTATCTTCTTTTCTGGGCTCAGGTTGTGAGGAGGATGGAAGGGTGGATGGAAAGATGAAGGCAGGCCGGAAAGCTGATGTTCATTGTTATTAGCCATGTCGCCGGCAGAAGTCACAGAAAAGCTGGGGTTGCATAGGATGAAGGACAGGAGTTGGTATGTGCATCCTAGGTACGTTTGCTCTTTCTCCTTCTTCCTCTTCTTTCACTTCTTCTTCTCTTTCTTCTTCTTCTTTTTCTCCTCCTTCTTCTCTCTTTGGTCCATATTATACCCTCGAGGCACCGTGAAATCCTAGGACAGAGGGCGTGAGGCTGATATACTCTCGGGTAGTTGCGCAACGACAGGCGAAGGGTTATTCGAAGGTCTTCAATGGTTGAGCCAGAACGTCAAGGGGACGAAATCATAGAACCACCCCCTTCCCCTCCCTCGCTTCTTCCACAATCCCTCGCCAATCCCTCGTCGATTTCTCGCACCATTCCAAACGCCGTCCTCCCTCACATTGTCTTACTGTCCCCATCCAACCGGTCCGAGCTTTGTAACGCCCCCCCACCCCACACCCCACACACCCCAACTCCTCGGCTTAACCTGCGATGGGATCTCCAGTATACCCCCATATACCCCTTTCTGCGCCCCCTTGCGCCCCTTGCGTTTGCGTCTATGCCTGGGATACGGCTCTATATCCCTCCCCATCGCTTTCCTTCTTCAATTCCTTCTTTCAAACTCAATCATCTGTGTTCTGTTTCTATACATTTGCTTTCCCTCTCTCCATTGGTGAAAAGCAAGAGTTTTAATAAGAGTTTTCTTGTCCTTTCTTTCTTCTATACAGCTTGTTCTTTTTACCGGTGCATTCATTTTTCTGGCTCTCTATACGTATACCCCAAAGATGAGATGAAGTATGAAAATAAAAAAAACGCTTGGTGTGCTTTCGACTTCGACTTTTTTGCTTGTATCATCTGCTGGTCTCGACGCCTTCTTTCTGGATCTCTGACTCTCTTGTCTTGTGTATCTGTGCCTGTGTACGCGCAGAACCCCACACCATACACCGTACTCATACCTCGTAACCCACGTGACGAGATGAAGCTCACCCAATCTTGCATCTTGCATCACCCAGCGCCTTATCCGCCCCACCCATCCACCCATCCCGACCCGCCTCAGGCCCCCATACACTTGCCACAGTCTCAGTCTCAGTCTCAACCAGATTAACAGATTAACGATACATGATTCCCCCTCCCTCTCTCCCTTTTCTCGATCGCGACAAGGAAAAACAGAAACCGTGTATTTCTAGATCTCACCCCACCCCTCCCTCTGATTATATCGCCACCCCGTACTCCCTCCGTACTCCCGTGCTCTTTATGAATTAGTATAAGGAAAAAGAAAATTAGTGAGCGAAAAACAACTCGTGGTGCGTCCCTCTGAGTAAGGTATCATAGATCTCCTCCTCCCTCTCCTTCTCTCTCTCTCTCTCTCTCACCGACTGTCATATGTGCCAAAAAGCAGGCACCGGGCGTTTAATACTAACACCTCATCAGCATCCACCCCAACCCAAACCCAAAACCCAAAGAAACCTCGAAGGGGGGGGGAGGGGGGGGTGACTCACCTTTTCACCGGCAAACCTGCCACTGGCGAACCGCCCAAAGGCGCCGCACAGAGAAGTACAGAAACTGAGCGCAAAAGCGACGAGCGCACCCGCCGTGAGCCAGTTTGCGTTACCCTACCCACACATCAGCCCTTCTTCTTCCTTTACAAAACCCTGGCAAACCCAGACAGACCAAGAGAAAGAGAAGAGACTTACATAGCTAGCAGAGTACCCCGCATCATGGATCTTGTGCTTGACCAATGACCAAAACACCATATCGAGCACAAACGCCGCGATGGTGATCAACAGCCCAAACAAGGCGCTGAGGGCCATCATGATGGTGAGGAAGCGCGAGGCGCAGATGGTGGCGAGGAAGCCAAAGAGGAGGGAGAGGAGGGCAAAGAAGCCGGCGATGGGGTGGAGGATGAGGGCGCGGGTGAGGCGGTGGAAGTTTGTGGTGTTGATGTTGAGGTTGCTGGTAGCTTATCAGCATTTTTTCTTGAACAAAAGATATGAAAGGGGGACGTACTCGGCACCCCAGACTTTCAAATCATACCCCACATTCCTACTCGTACACTCCCCGCCCTTCAAACACTCGCCCAAAACGCCAAACACGGTCGTCTGGCTGCCGGTGGAAGCTTTGAGAAAGTTGATCTTTTCCCAGGCGGGAGGGGAGACGGAGACAAAGATGAGGAGGACCATGGCGCAGAAGGCGAAGAAAAGGCCGGGGAAGGCTGGGGAGGGCATCTTGGGCGAAGGGGGTTTTTTTCCTGTTTGGGCGGGGCGGGAGGGGCGAGGTGGGGTGTTTGTTTCTTCGGGTCTGTCTGTTGTCTGTCGAGCGGGGGTGTTTATAGGTGTATAACTGTGCAGCCCTGACGGTTGGTGGATTATAGTTCTTGTAAACAGAAGAGAAGAATTGATGAAGAAAGAAAAGAGCAAAAGCGGGGCGGGGGGCGGCCCAAGCCAAGGGGGTTGCCAAAAGGTCCATGGGCCGTTACGTCATGGATCTCTTTCCTTGGGAGTGATTAATTAACGATTTCTGGGCCTTCCCCCAGTTTACGGCACTGTTTATTTTCTGCGTCCATGCATGCATCTATTCGGTATTCTGGTTGGAGGTATAGGAGGGAAGGGAGGGGGAGGAATGAATGCGGATAGGGGGGAGGGAGATAAGCAGCCCGCGCGGAAAACTTGAGGAGGGAACGTCCAACCAGCCTGGTGTGTAAGGGCAAGATTTGTTGACGCCTTTTCCACGTGGCCATGACGCTCTTCCCTCATTGCCTCACTTTCTTTTTTGACTTGCCGACCGGTAAGGTAAGGTTGGGTTAAACACAGCCGGGATACGTACCGGCGAGTTCAAATGAGGGGCTTTGAGGGGGGAGGGGGCTGGGTGATGATGCCGATGATGCGGGATCATGCCGGCATGGATCGAAACCTTTTCGGGGGAATGTTACCGTGTACCGTTGTGTTATCTGTTGAGGTGGGATTGGGTGGGCTTTATCTCGTATGTACGAGCACGGTGTTATCGCGTGGGTTCTGCTTGTACACAGAGGCACAGATACAAAAGTCACATAATCGGAGGGAGGTGGAGCCAATGGGGGGGGGGAGATCCAGATATACACGGTATCTTTCTATACCTTGTCGAGGCAAGAGGTTTTTAGATTGTTTGAGAGAATTGATGAGATTGAGGGAATATGTATCGTTAATCTGTCGAGATTGTGGCAAGTGTATGGGATGGAGCCAAACAACGGGCAGATGGACCTCGCCGTCGGGCACGACCCCTCGGCAGCGTTTCCTCGGGCATCGGCCGTCCCCTGGTATATATACCCCCGTCCTTCCTTCCCATTCCCATCCCCATTCTTCCTTAGTACCACAGCATGGTACAGATCACAGTCCACCCCTCCCCCGACAGCACAGGCACGAGGACAAGGGGAGCGCACTGGTCCAACGACCACGGCACAAAATTCCACAACCCCTGGGAGTCGGACAGTTACCCCGTCAGTCTCTCTCTTAGCGCACGGTGGCATGCTGACTTGGGGGGTGGGTCGTATTAGACGTTGTGGCCGATTCTGAAGGTACGTTTGACATACAGTCGTGTAGGGGAATCATAAGCTGACACGCATGCAGACTATCTACCTCGTACGTCCCTCCCCCCAACCCTTTCCCCGAGCAAACCCTCAAATAATAATCAAAACAGATGGCAACGACAAAAGACCCAACCCGCGCACAGGCCAAGACCCTCATCCCACACATTTCCAACCCCGATTTCGGCAAGTCGCTCAACCAGAACGAGCTGAAAGCGACGTGGCTCGGGCACGCTTCGGTGCTTGTCGAGTTCCCCACTGCTCCCTCGACCTCGAGCTCCTCTGGTCCCACCGCTCCGGCCGGCGTGAAAGGTGCTCAAGCGCAAGATATTGAAGGAGGAGTGGGGACAGTAGGTCTCGGGGAAGGAGGCAAAAGAGGCGTGAGGGTGTTGTTTGACCCGGTGTTGGGGGAAGGTATGGCATTCTGGGGACTCGGCCCGAAACGTGATAGTTGTACGTCCCCCCCATCTCTTCCCCCTGCATCAACTAACGATGATGCAAAGCATCCCCATGCAAAATTCCCTCCCTCCCGCAGATCGACATCATAGCCATCTCGCACAACCACTACGACCACCTCGACCTGCCCACCCTCTCCTCCGTCCTCGCTTCGCAAAAGGAACAGTATGGCTCGGAGCCGGTGCTGTTTTTGCCGTTGAATAACCGGCATGTGGTCGCGGATTTGGGGCTGGGTGGCGGGAAAGGAGAAGGAGGGAAGGGGGATGGAGGAGGGAGGGGAGGGGGAGAGGGGAGGGTTATAGAGCTGGATTGGTGGGAGGGGAGGAGGGTCGTCGTTGATGGTGTCGGTGAGGTGGAGATGACTTGTAGTACGTCCCCCCATCCTCCGTCCCATCACTTTCTCTCCATCTTTTGGAGAATATTTAACCTGACATTTTCGAGTCTAGCCCCATGCCAACACACCTCCTCTCGATATCTCTGGGACAAGGATAACTCACTTTGGTCGTCTTGGGTCGCAAAGGATGTCAGGCCCGGTGTGACGAATCCCACTTCCGTACGTTCCCTTTGTCCCCTTCCCCTTCCCTTTCTTCCCTTCTTCTTCTCTCAACAAACAACTGACCTTCAACCCTCAGGTATTCTTCGGCGGCGATACCGGCTACTGCTCCCTCCCCTCCCACTCCCACCACTCCGCACACCTCCCCCCACCGCCTTCCCTCTCATACTGCCCCGCCTTCAAAGACATCGGCACCAAACTCGGCCCTTTCACCCTGGGCCTGATCCCTATTGGGGCGTATTTCCCGAGGATGAGCATGTCGGGGATGCATGCTTCGCCGGGGGATAGTGTGAGGATCTTTAAAGATACCGTGCGTCTCTCTATCTCTCCTCTTTCCTTTCTCTTTCCTTTCTTTCAGGGCTCGTCCTCTCGACTTGAGGGATGCAAGCTAACAACAAAGGTGGGGCGCTGAGTAGAAATGTAAACAAGCCCTAGGCATTCACTGGGGTACGTTCCGCATGACCGTCGAACCACTCACCGAGCCGCCCGAGATGCTTGCTGCTGCTGTACGCGAGGCGGGGTTGGAGGAGGGGGTGTTTGGGTTTTGTGCGATTGGGGAGACGAGGGGGTATTCTTAGACTTCTTAGACTTCCGACGGTACCGATGGCCGAGGAGGATAGGTTGTTTGTGCAGTTGGTTGTGGGATGTATTTTATGGAATGAATGTGATACATTCTGTGTCCTCTGTAAGCAGACTATTGTATACTGTGGTACAGTCTTCAGCTTTTATCACCTGGTAAGAGTATGCATTACATACCTGTTGTACAGTCTTCACTAGATTAGAAGTCAGATGCCCTTGCCTCTAGGCCGTAGAGGGACCCCTTCAGGCGCAGTACGTCGCAACCTTTTTGCGGGCGTCATCCCCTTTGCAAACTTCATGTATATGGGTTCCTAGAGCCGGCCATTAAGGATACGCCCCTTTGACGTTGGCTTGACCAACTTCGATTTCGTATCTGGCGATCATGACAAGGAGTAGTCGGAGGCTTGTGAAGCGGGATGTGGGGGACCATGTTCAACTTGTAGTCGACACCTGGTTGTTGAACTGAAGCCTTGCGCGACAAGTCTGGCCTTTGTACTTGAGTATGTTGCCATGCGCATCTTCTTTCTTCTTCGCCAAAACCCATTTTGACCCCACGACCTTCCTCCATTTCGGCAACACTGCTTCCTCCCAGACCGGACATCCTTTCCCTCTATCGTCGACAACTCTGTCTTTATCGCCATTCTCCAGAATTCTTTCTCTTCTCCTCTGAGGGCTTCTTTGAGGGTGCTCGGGACATCTTCCGGAACCTTCGAGATAGCGTTGAGAACATGCTCGGACCCGAGGCGGTACCATCGAGCGTCCTTGCCATAGAACCGCATGACATCGTCGTTGTCGAGGTTGAAGGAGGCTAGCTTTCTCGCTTGAGTCCTAGTACAGGCCTCGGGATGGATCGGAGGTGGTGGTTTCGGCAATGATGTACTTGTAGGGGGCGTATTCTGAGGAATGTCCTCTTCGTCATCAGACGTCAGAGGTGACACGAGTGCTTGGGCAATTGCCTGATTCCTTTTTCGTACGTCTTCCTCTCTGCCCCCGCTCGTCTTCGCTCACTGTTTCTAGCACTTCTCTGTCCCCCTCCGACTCCACGCTCTCGATTTCATTCCTCTCATCCCCCCTCTTACGCCCCCCCTACATCCACGGGATTTGCAACCTCCACCGTCACCATTGGTTGAGGGCGCGGCTGTGGCTGTGGTGCGCCAACGGGCTCCTCGTCCAGCTTGAACTCGTCGCCAGTTGCTTTCTGAACGTCCCGGGATTCCACGTTTTCCCCAGTCTCCAAGCTCAGTAACCACCCGCTCCTCCCGACGTCCAATCCCAACACTTGCCCCAGAAGGTAGAGCTTTCTTCGTGTCGAGCCTGTTCTTGAGACGGTATTGAAGACTACTGTACAACAGGTACGTAATGCATAATCTTACCAGGTGATAGGAGCTGGAGACTGTACAGCAGTATTCAATACAAACTCGGTCAAATGATGAATGAAAAAAGAACGTCGACTGCAAAGAAACAAGGCAATCACTCGGACATCTTACCCGCTTCTCTTCAAACGTGTTACCACGACTCCAGCGCAACTTGCACAGTTATATTGAAGCGTACGAGCAATGCAGAATGCAACGTGTGGCCTCCATCGTTCCGTTACAGTACTTGTGCTGGGTATCCTTTCCTGTATCCTACTCAGCCGCCACGCACCCTGCACACCCCCTTACAACGCCGCGCGCGCGCGCCCGAACCAAACAAGGCGGTGTGGTGGATGGCCGTCGGTCATCGCCCCTCTCGCTCCGGCAGTCGCTTGCGTCTCCCTCATCCTTCGGCATCCCTCGCTTTATACTTGTATATCATCCTCCTCCTTCTTCTTCTTTTTATTTTTTCTTTTCATCCGTCTTTTCCTTCTTCTTCGTATTCTACTTCGGTACCACAGCAATGACCCAGATCACAGTCCGCCCCACCACTCCCGACGACACAAGCAAATGGCCAAAGGGGGACCACTGGTCCAACGACCGGGGTACGAAATTCCATAATCCCTGGGAATCGTATGCCTATCCCGTCAGTTCTCGCTCTTCATCCTATGCCATGTGCCAGTATGAGAAGTGACTCGATAAAAGAAAAGAGTAAAACAGCTGACATGTGTTTTTGACGTGATGGAAAAGAGTTTCTGGTCATTGATGAAAGTACGTCCCCTCACACCACACTCCAGCATAGCATCAAGAACCAACAGCTGATAACAAGACTTGTTCATCAGGCAGCATATGCCGTAAGATCGCCCTCTTGCTTTGTCCCCCTTGGACACTTTGACAATTCAACTGACTATAAGGCGATGGACGCTACTTTGTAGATGATGTCTACCAAAGACCCCACCCGCGCCCAGGCCAAGACGCTCATCCCACACATAACTAACCCGGATTTCGGCAAGTCGCTCAACGAGTATGGGAAGGAGGGAGAGTTGAAAGCGACGTGGTTGGGGCACGCTTCGGTGCTTGTCGAGTTTCCGACTGTCCCCTCAAGCTCCTCTGGTCCCACTGGTCTGATGAGTACGAGTACGGCTGGTGCTCAAAGTGTGCAAGGGGGAGGCAAAAGAGGTGTGAGGGTACTATTTGACCCGGTGCTGGGGGAAGGTATGGCTTTTTGGGGACTGGGTCCGAAACGTGAGAGCTGTACGTCCCCTTTCCCTTCCCCTTCCCCTTCCTCTTCCCCTTMCCCTTMCCCTTMCCCTTMCCCTTMCCCTTCCCCTTCCCCTTCCCCTTCCCCTTCCCCTTCCCCTTCCCCTTCCCCTTCCCCTTCCCCTTCCCCTTCCCCTTCCCCTTCCCCTTCCCCTTCCCCTTCCCCTTCCCCTTCCCCTTCCCCTTCCCCTTCCCCTTCCCCTTCCCCTTCCCCTTCCCCTTCCCCTTCCCCTTCCCCTTCCCCTTCCCCTTCCCCTTCCCCTTCCCCTTCCCCTTCCCCTTCCCCTTCCCCTTCCCCTTCCCCTTCCCCTTCCCCTTCCCCTTCCCCTTCC